ATGCAATTTTCTTTGTTTTGCTCCTCAATCCTTCATTGGTGTGTAATAAATGTTTCATCCACTATACTCAGCTACAGACGGAATTAAGAAAAAAAAAGATCTCCACAGTCAATGCTCTCCAGCACTGAAGCGCACCGAAGTGAAGTTTAATGGATCAAGAGGATGAGCTGCGCACTTGCATGCTCTACGATCAATATTGATTCATTAAACCTCACTTAAGAGGAGAACATTGACTGCTGTGGGGTTTTCTTCTTGTTTCCGTCTTTATCTGAAACATTTCTTAGACACCAATGAAGGATTGAGGAGCAGAAGAAAAAATTGTATTCACCTCATCCATCAATTACGGCATTTAGCTGTTTATCATCTTTTATGAACCAACCCTCGCATACTTGAACAGCATTTATAAAACATCAGATAACACCAATAAAACAAGTTTACGGTTTACAGCACCGGAGTCCCGCGGATCATTCCGAAAGCAATTTAAATTACCTCGTCTGTCGAGGAATCCGAATGGCGCTCGGACTGGGCTTCCCATGCCCAGTTTTGGCTGAAATCCTAACTTCCGTATAGATAATGGTGTTCTTAAGGGTTAACCTTTCACACCACGGAAATTCAGTATAGTGAGACGTGCACAATCGATGAAAATCAGTGTTTTTCTCTCAACTCTCACTTCAACTCGCGAAAATTATCCTGAAGATTCGGTATACGAAATACGACGACAGTCACAATAATGCCAACAATTCAAATCCCGAAAACAATAATTGAGCAATAAATTTTTGCAGGGCCTCTCCCCGGACACGAAAACGAGAATGCTCAAGACCAATTACCAATAATAACTGATGAATAAGATACGAAAAACAACAAGCGCGATATTTTCGAAGTGTTCGCAAATGGAACGTCAGATACATGTACTGTATAAGTGCAAGCTAATTCAGAATAAGAACCAATTTATCGTTTTAAGAAGTGTCATTCACAAATTCCCTGCGATAGCCGTGATTGAGTTACTTAGGATTTGCTTCATTCACAATTATGATGGGGGAATTTTCAAGTCGTGGAATAATCAGGGGTATAGGTTCATCTTCGACATTTTAAGGTTATTATTATAAATACACAGCTGATGAGCCTGATGAAAATCCATCGAATATATCAATGCAACAAAGACGAACAAGTTTCTTCCGGTTCATATAAAAATGAATAAAACAGGAATGGCTCATGAAATGCATTAAAGAATATAGGAGTCGATGCTGGGTTCCGGAAAGCATTCCCTGTAGAAAGAATTGTATACTACTGCATATAGTCTTTTCAGCTAGCGACTTCGACCACATCCCCATACAGACACGAAGGCACTTGTACACGAGCAAATTCGGCAAAGTATTCGGACAGGATACTTATATAGAACCGTGGGATTCTGAGACATTTCAATCATCCACTCAAAAATAATTTGACGGATTGATGGTGACGGCATTCATCCAGCCATTTCAGTTTCTCATTTAAAAAAAATCACGTTGAAAGGACGTTAGCACTCACCATAGTTGCTCATCGTAGACCAAATATTCCATCCCAGAAAGGTTTCGCGTAAATTCAGAATTATCATGAACAATGCAGCCCCATTCTGGAGTCCACTTATCATGCCTTTCGGAGAGAAGATAGTCACTTATACAAACAGGATAGGTTCAGCCTTCACTGTCTTGCCAACCTTTCAAAAATGTGATCACTGAAACCCACCGAACAAACATAACTCATTCGCACATCTGTCCACATACACACACAACTTGTTTCAAACGTCCTACTGCGAGAAATAAAAATGCTGCCAGCCATCCCACCAAATTCTGCGGATCGGTTGCATCATCGAACGTACGCAATTCAAGATGTGCGCATCCGTTCACAGCATACACGCGCACATCATATACTGTACGAACTGTACTTGTTTCATAGCAAGCCTTACAATTTCCTCACTCCTGAGCTCCACGGAATATACAACCACAACACAGCTTTCCGTGCATGGTAGATGGTACAATGGATATTCATTCCTATATACATGGCACGATTCATCCATGCCTTCATCAGGGTGAAATATTGTATCTGGAACACCAGAAATTTTAGTTGGGTGAACTGAACCGACTGCAGCTCATGGGTTATTTCTATTCTATCGCTCTCCATGCAAAATTAGCACACTATTTTCCTGAGATAAAAATGTAGTCCAGGACCATATGCAGCACACCCACAATTAACGATTTGACGTCAGAGTTGTTTTGCGAGGGTTGTCAATCTCGAGGTAAGCGACATCTATTTTTTTCTATTTGAAAATACAGTATACGCTTCATAAATGAAGAATTGGATGTCGCTTTGCAAACCTTGAAAACTCGACCTATTGGAACAGAATTCGCGCAAAAATCAACAAGAACAAAACCCTACAATGAATCCGTCAGAAACTTTACGATGTGATAGATTCGCGTCAGAATACCTAGAATTCTTTATTAGCAAGAGATAAAGCATTAATAAGAAACAAAACATACCTCAATACTACGGTATACACATTTGATTACAGGTGAACCTGGATAACTCAAACCTCCTAAAGTCAAAAACCCCGGTAAGTGGAATTTTTTTCCTACCCCCCTCTGAATCCCCTTAGAAAAAATAGATTAAAACCTCCCTAAGTTGAAAGCTTTTCCCTCAAACCTCCATTATTCGAATTTTCTGTGGCCTGTTGGCCATTACAGTATTTTTTCAACCAAGAAAGAAAAAGCAATAAAAACATAAAAGTATGGGTTTTAAAAGAGATGAAAGACTTAATTGGGCAAATGAACCCCTGCCTCCAAGTTCAGCAGCTTTTTCAACTCATTTAAGAAGCCATTTAATCCCCAGAATATCACCATTTACATTTTTCTAAGTTTCAATTTGTAAAATTCTAAACTTCCCTAAGTCGAATTTTTTTTTGCAGGTCCCTTGAAATTTGACGTAAAGAGGTTTGGCTGATGTATATAGAGCAGGTCTGTTCCATCATCCATTTCACGAAATCCAGACAGCATGATATTTATAGCAAAGCATAATTTTGACTAGGAATACTGAGCCAATGCTTTTCTGCAAGAAAAGAGAACTTACATTGTATTTTGCTACCGTGCTTTAAAAAAACATGCAATTCACAAACCAAGATTTGATACAGCACAAAAAACACATAGAAAGTAAGAAGTTCAGGACAAAATGTATTCTGGGACTACCATATAGGAGGCAGATGGGATTCAAAATTTTCTTCAACAGTCAAACAGGTTCAAGACGTTATTGGTGCTTTCGAACACCGAATTCCAAATTTTACTCAGTTTGTGAAAGAAAAAAAACGTTTGGCCGTGAATGGACAGTAATACACCGAAGAAATATATTTAAATACAATAATTATAAAAATTATGCACGAGTATTGACAACATTTTCTTCGAAAATACTGGAATGTGGCAGATGTTATAGAAACACGAATTTTAATACGAACAAACACCTCAACGTCATAAAACTAAAATAATTTTTTCCTGAACAACAGTTCGATTTCTCCCTTCCAGTATACTTTCGCACAAGAATTCGAAAGTGCATGAAAAATCGGGAACAATTAATGTGAACGAACCTGAAATCTTTACACTAAAGCTGGATAATGATTAATTAAAATAATTTCTTAACTCATCTGGCTGCATCGACATGACCACCATTAAGGTACAGTATATTTAAAAAAATTATTACCGACAACCATAATTTATCACATACTTTTGAATTTGATTCTATGGATCTGAATTCATCATCGGCAGCTGTGAGCTCCTGTCCTAGACTCGAAGAATGTCTGGAATTCAATGACAAATCCAGCAGCATATGGTCCTTGAAATTGTATTTCCTCCAGAATGTTCCATGGACTTCCTGTATAGTCATTTTTGGCAACTGCAGCGTTACTGATCGGGTCAGAACTGTACTGAAATGTATCCTTATCATGCGTAGTTATTTTCTCGATATTTTCCCGAAGATATTTACTCCTCGTAAAAATGATGATGATAATTTATAATTCTTACCCATGCCTTCTTGTTGAGGCATCTGAGCCGTTTCTTGTACTTTATATAGGCCTAAACCCTTGAATTTAAAAAGTTAGCCAAGCATACCTAAATGAGAAATACTCCACTTGATCTGCTTTTTTCAAATGAATTTTATTTCATGGTTCCCGCGTATTGGAGTTCGAAAGTATTGATTGTCGTATTCCGTGTATAGCCCCGTTCATATGCTGCTGATATGTCTCCGCTGCTGTTCTCGTTTGTACATCGTGCTGTGATGGTAGCGACACCTGTATGACGCATGTAGACTTGCGGTGAGGATACTGCGGGCATTTGCCGTGCCTGGCTGTGCGCTGTACGGTTAAGTTGGCGAGCAGTATCAAACTGTTTATTAACTTTTCAGGGCAATTTACCTGAAGTGTTTTCTCCCTATCCATCGTTCCTGAAATCAGACAGCCTGGCTGACAGAAAGAGTTACTGTCTAACCTGGCCGAAAGAGTTCAATGAAACAACCGATGCATCTGTTGAAATTTTGAAAATGTGTCGTATTCCCTTTCGTCATTCTCTTCTAGAAAACTAGGTGTGCAGGGATACTTGTGTTGTGCCACTCGTCCCGCGCTCCAAAATCAATTACAATTGAGTGATTCAATATTTGTTGCCAGTGAATCAGGTGAGTACAAGTGCATGCACTATAGAGTGGTATCCGCAGTTGAAATTCAAGAAAATTCAAGATTGCGCACCGTTAATACTAACGTACGTGGACGAAAAAATGATTTAGAGCTAAGTGAGCGGAGAGATTTGCGGATAGAGGGATGCAGCGGTGTGATGGTGACATTTTGAAAGAAGGATCACCGAAAATTTTTCTGTCATTCATGAAAAATGTTTTCTAAACCGGAAACGAAGTTTGAAGATTAATTGATGAATCGAACGCTGAATTGTAAACATGTTGACATTGTGGCGTCGTAGCTAGAGTTGGCTGAAATGCGGAATGAAACCGCTGGAAATGTGAATATCGCTTTCAACTTGTTTCAGAATGCATTAAAATTGAATGTGATCATGGCAAGTGAAACCGCGGAAAAGCCGAACTTCCCCACGAAAAGCGAAAGACAACGATGTTGGGCCGCGCGGGACGATTATTGGGCGTGTCTGGATAAAGAAAAAATGAGCGAAGATGCTTGCTCAAAGTTCCGAGAGGCGTTCTGCTCGTCTTGCCCATTGCAATGGGTGAAGCATTTTGATCGTCGTTACAAGTACCTCAAGTTCAAGGAGAAAATGGAGACAGAGGGATTCGATCCAGTCGAAGGACCTGAAAAATCATGAATTTTATATGCATGTAAACATGGTCGGGGTGAACAACGTGGTTCCTTAGATTGTAGGCGTTTACCTTGTGATAACGTGTGATCCACGCGCGGATGAGTAATACACTAAATCAGCAGATACCTCCTTGTGACTTGTGACTCCTTTTCCTCCCTCAACAGGTACAGTATCTCTTGAATATCGAACACGGAAAATATCGTGTCGTAAACGTCGGTTCGAGGCAAATTCAATCAAATTCACAAATGCTGAGATGGTCTTTCGAGAGCGCGTGAATCCGAACATGGCTTTTAATTTGTTACATTCTCGATAAATTGTTGACTCTCGTTTTGTTGGCTGTGTGATTTCAGAACATTGATGTTGAAGTGATTGGAGAAAGAGAAAAAGATCAGGATGACCGGAACTGATTGTAAGAGGAGCATAGGTCGGTGTTTGCTTAAATGGCGATCGTGGATTCGACCGGCGGTGATGACGCTGTATGCTTCAGCCGTTTTCTTCGCTATACCTTTCCTCGTAGTGAACCTTACGAACAGCGGTATCAACGGGAGAACGCAGTTGTGGCTGGTGTCACTCATTTTTTGCGTCCTCACCATCCCTCTTACCATGTGGGAAATCATCCAGCACCTGATCCACTACACGAGGCCCGAGTTGCAGAAGCACATAATCCGAATCTTGTGGATGGTGCCGATCTACTCGCTGAACGCCTGGCTGGGGATCACGGCGCCTGATTACGCCATCTACATGGACACGTTGCGCGAGTGTTACGAGGCCTACGTGATATACAACTTCATGATTTTCTTGCTCAATTTTCTCAACGCTGAGATGTCGCTGGCGGAGGTTCTGGAAACCAAGGCCCCCGTGGGCCACATTTTCCCGTTGTGCTGTCTTCCGACTTGGGAGATGGGAGCCGAATTGATCCACCGATGCAAGCATGGGATCCTTCAATACACAGTGGTCCGACCCATCACGACTGTGGTGTCGTTGGCCTGCGCCCTAGGTGGTGTCTACGGTGAAGGCGAGTTCCGCAGTGACGTCGCGTTCCCTTACATGTTCTTCTTGAACAATCTGTCCCAGTTCGTGGCCATGTACTGCCTAGTGTTGTTTTACCGCGCGTGTCGCCGGGAACTGGATCCCATGCGCCCGCTGCTCAAGTTCGCCTGCATCAAAGCCGTTGTGTTTTTCTCCTTCATGCAACAAGCCCTGATCCAGATCCTCGTGTGGACTCGTGTGATTCAAGGCGCCTTTGGGCTGGACGACGGCGAGTCTGTGCAGCGCGTGGGATCCATACTTCAAGACTTTTGCATCTGCGTTGAAATGTTCCTCGCTGGCATTGCGCATCACTACGCCTTCAGCTACAAGCCGTACGTGAACCTCGCAGCGGCACAGACGCCGTGCTGTGAGAACTTCCTCAAGATGTGGGACGTGTCGGATGTGCGACAGGACGTGTCCGAGCACATTGGAGTGTTGTCCAAGACGGTGACTCAGGGTGTGCGACGAAGTGCGGGCGGTGGATCGTCGAGCTATAAACGTGCTGAGGCGTCGTATGCGGAGCGAACGAAGCTTCTGCATCCGTGTGCCAACGTTGCCGACAGCGGATACCGGAGTGTGGATGAGGTGGCAGAGTCGAGTCCCCTGGTGCATCGGAGGTCGTCGTCGCCTGTCAATGGCGCCGAGGACGACGCCGATCCCGTAATCATTCGTGGCGGCGGTGAATGACAGTGGTCTATTCGCGGGGACGGCGACTCCTTCCCCCTCTTGCACGTGGTAAATCTCGATTCTGAGGTGTGATTGATGTGTGTGTTTTTTTCATTTGCCTACTTGCGTCAAATTCGCTTGCAGGTGTTCAACATCCCTGTTGAATTCCCCGTGACTGCCGTAATTGAGTTTGTGATGGTTTTTTTTAATGTTGTTTTATTTGTATCGTAATGTACCTGTAATGCATCGGTATTGCTTTTTTCTGGATGATTAAGATCCGATGCGTGATTTCGAAGTTTAGAAAGGGTGGCTCGTGGCAATACTATAAGTGGAGTTCCAATAAACATGTGTTATGTTGGGTGTGCAAAAAGTTACTGTGGATCGTAAAAGGCAGGGTTTCTTGAGATGTCTGAAAGTTTTCTACGTTATCTTGAACCTGGTGAATATTTTCATAAGATTTGAAAACTACCGAATAGAATGGCAGGTAATTTTTGGGGGAATAATTTTAAATCGAACTACTTTTGTGCCTGCCAGCGACCGACTGGTGTATTTATCCATAACATGTGTTGTAGTGGGAAAACATTGAACTACAATTCGTCTTTCTCAAGGACATCTGCCCTCAATTAAAATAAAAGAAAATGAAGGTCATATGGATGAACAAAGAGAAAAGTGGAATTTTCCGCTGCACAGTGACTGTTTGGACACCTATTTTTCAAGTGATATGGCCTTGGATAAGGGAAGGAAAGTTCTCTTGCTAGAGTTGCTTAAGTAGCATGTGTTTGAGGAGTATTTCCTGCCAGATTTTGATTGCACTCACAACTTTGGCAGCGAGTGACTCAACCGAGCTGTGTGTGAGGCTTTAAATGAATTTGTGTCGCACATTCCGCTGATGAGGTAATTACCTGAATTCAATCGTGGTCGCGGAAAAATTTCGTCGGAATACCTCTCGAGTAGGTTGATGATGGCTCCAGAACGCGGTTCATCGTCCATGAATGAAATCCTTTTTTTTTTTGTGGATGATGATGATTTCAGCACGTGCTGGTGCAAACCTTGTGTCTTTGTCATGCTAATGCATGCTTTTTTTTTTACGCGCGGATGATCTCTCTGTGGTGCATGATGTGTCACAAATTTATTTTTTCGTACCGCCAAGAACGTGTGCTATTGTCTATCGCCTGCCGCTTTGCGCCGCATTTACACATGCCTTGACCCCTTTCTTTTTAAAAGAAGGGAAAGAGAGAAAAAGCTCGTATTTTGCATTTCTATTTCCTTTTTGTTGTTGTTTTTTTCTGCTGAGACTTGGACAACGATCGATTTTATGCAATGGCGGGATCCGTAGAGAGGCTGTGGTAGAGTCACGACTTCCCCGAGCGCAGAGAAATTTCGGGAAGGAGGAAACTAGTCGATGTGCTTTTTTTTTTTTTTTTTAGCGAGGCAATCAAACGGGGTCGTGGTGAACAAAATTCGGGGAGTGCGGTTTTGCTTGTGATGCGTTTTTTGGCTACTCAACGTTGTTCCACTTTTTTCCCCCCATTTCGCTGATTTTAATAAAGGTTTTGGAACCCGGTGGTTTACTGGATCATTAAGTACAGTATGGAAAAAAGGGCTTACTGACAAGTAAGAGAAATCCGCTGAAAAGGAGGAGTGCTCTTATTCTTGCTTGTTGGAGGGAGCTACGACTCAGGACGCGTTGATATGACCGCAATGGTCATTGGAGCAAAATTTGAAAATTATTTAATTTGTCTCCTTTGTCAAGTTTGTTTTGCCAGTAACAAGGGGGTGTACTGTATCTACGTGTTTTAATTTAAAACTGCAGTGATGTCCAGTACAGTACAGTACTTGTATTTTGTCAGGCAAATCATCCAGTCAGTTGAAAAGCATCTTCTGGCTTTTTCCCCCTTTTCTTTTCATATCGTGATTCCTTGCCTGAATTTCGCCATGTTTTTCTCCGTTTACAAAATGATGAAGCAACAGCTTGTCATGGTTGCAAAAAAATGAAGTTGGCTTGTAGTACTGCACAGTACTTCCAGTGTTGAAGGGGATTTCAATTGTAGTGGAAGCAATTTTCCGTAATGAGCTGAGGAACTAATGCGTTTTCATCTCTGGGAGAGACTTGCATCAAATTACGTTTAAATTGAAGTACTGTACAGTGAATCACAACCTTGAATGGAAAAGTAAGAGGGATTCGTGATGAATCAATGCAGTGAACTTCATTTTCAGTGAATATTTTTTTCAAATGTAATGATGAAACTTGTCGAGTTGGGATTGGTGAAATCACAGGTGGACTATTTTCTACGAGGAGATTCCAGGGATGACGAAGACAAAATTCGTTGCAGAGAACCCTTATACTGTAACATAGAGAGAGAGAGAGAGAGAAAACCCTATGGGACCACGCTAAACATTGTTATACAGAGAAAGTCGTTGTACAAAGAGTCCACTTGTATGCGGAGTGTAGGATGTAAATGAGAAGATCATCGAATGATATTGACGTGTTGTTCGAGGCCGTAGCTCCTACCATTTAGTAGATATCGTTGTTTGAAAAATTGAAACTGCCAAGGGTAGTTACTTTGTCTGTCTGATCTCCCAACCACTTCGTATACATCTTTTTTTTTGTCGTTCGCAGGTTATGTGATATTTATTTTGGCTGTATCGAGGGGAAGAGATGAGAGGCGCGGGGAACAACCCGGGTTCTGTGGGTTCCAAGTTTGGGGCTCATCGACTAGCCCATCAGAAGATAATCGGCGACGAGCAAGGAGCCCAGAGGCACGGGAACAGGAATGGAGTTTCTTTAGGTGCAGGTTGCTTTTGAACTGATGTACTGTATTTCTTTCGTCATATGTAATGTGTATCTATTTTTTATTTATTTTTTCACCGGGTACAGATTAAGAAAGCAAAAATGCACGGATTTTGAATGAGGGATCTGCCTCCTCGAGTATATACAGTAGTGAGATCCCGACTTACGAACGGATGATTCGATTAAGGGACACTTGAAAGTTCGAAAAGAAAAAAAATCCCGACATCCGGACCATGTCTCGAGATGCTGACACGCTCGGCAAGAGTTTTAGAGAAACTTTAAAATGTAATTTTCTAAATTTTTGACAGCTCTTGTATAAATTGAGCTGCATGATTTTTATTCGTGAAGATGGAAATTAATTGTCGTTGAAAATTATTCTGATTTATAATCCTAAACGGGCTAATTTTTGTCTTCTTCAGAGTTTCTGTCATGTTTGCACAGTGTAGGAAGACTTATTGTGCTCGTTCTTTGCATTTTCGGCTCCTTTTTATGCCTAAAGGATTAGATTCTGCGTGGTTTTCCTCTTCAGATAATATTTTCTGTGTATTGAAGTTGAAAAGATCATTTTATTCAATTTTTTGGAAGACTTCTTCCTGATCTGTGATCAAAAAAATAACGAATTAAATACAGTACTGTGCCTTCCCATTGAAATCTAGGCGGAAAACATCATCAAACATCTGGATGTTCATACATACTGTACAGTGTAATGGCAAGGTCCAAAGCACAATTTACAGTACCGTGAGACCCCAAGATGTGGATGTAATTGGTGCATCAAGAGTGTCCCTAAGTTGAAGTTGAGTCTTGTTTTCCCATAGACTTATATTATATAATTTTAATTGGTGTTTCATTGGAGAAATATTCTTCAGAATTCTCTGAAAAATGTTGTTTGCCACTTGAATTTGAATTAATGAATACATTTTGAAATCAATAAGAACATTTGGAGCATTGAATAGTGTATCTCTGTACTGAACATTGAAATGTTGGCATCTACAAAAATAATATTCTAGCAAAAAAAAGTAGAAGTCCCTCTATGCTGGAGGTAATTTTTAAAAATTAGCTAAATGGATGTTAAAGTGGTGAGAGAAATCCCCAATAACTTTTCTTACATCAATTTTAGGGTTGGAAATATCTGTTTCTTGTAATGTGGCCTGAAATGTATTTGCAATTNTCTGTTTCTTGTAATGTGGCCTGAAATGTATTTGCAATTTTATCACAAAATGTCCCTATGTTGAGTCAGTGTCCTCATGTGGGGTCTTTTTTTATTAATTTGTTTCTGGGAAAATAAGTGTCCTTATGTCAAGTTGTCTGCAGGTTGACGTGTCCGCATGTGGGGGTCTCACTAATCTTGCTTTGACCAACTGCTGGTCGAATGGTTCTCCTAAATCTTATGATGTACAGTAGAATCAACCTCTTGAGCGGTTTTGTTTTTGTGCCAATGAGCGGACAAAGAAGTTGCTCAATGCTTTCTCGTATCTGAACCTTCGAATTCTTTATTTTCATTTTGGCACTCAGTTTTTGGCTTGTTTAAAGATGATCTTCCTAATTCGGAAGATGCTGTGGGTCCGAGATTTTTCCGACTACAGTAGTACAGTACTGTATTCGCTTCCAAAAAGCATGAGCACACGATGGAGATTTTTGCGTGCTACAGTATTTGTAGAGGTTTAATTTTTTTCCCAGAACGAGATGGTGTTTAATCCTTCCCCTCTTCACGCTTCGTTTCTTTGCCCGCAGACGAGGGGCGGTTTGCGAGTCCCGGGTTGCCGTGTCTGCTGGAGGACTTGGAGCGGCTTTCGGAAGACAGGGAATCTGCGGACTTGGTGTTTCTCGTGGGCAGAGACGAGACGCCGATCCGGGGCCACCGACTCGTGTACGCCATGCGGTGCAAGAACTTCTTTTTCCCGTCCCCGCTGGGCCCGAGGCGGAATCTGTCGGGGTCTTCGGGCAACGGTGCGGGCATCAGTGTGGAGGTTTGCTCGGTGCGGGGCTGGAACGTGAAGCCCGGCTTTCCCGTGACTGTCACGGTGCCGCACTTTAGCCCCGAGGCCTTCCAGATGGTCCACCACTACATTTACACGGGGCATGTGAGTGTAGACAGGACGGATTTGCTGTTGTTGTTGTTGGTGGCATGCACGTTGCTTGAATGCAATAATATTATTACTGTACTGAACTGAACTGTATTTACCCTATTTGAGTAAGGCACACACACACCCCGGAATTTTTTAACCTGAAATTTGGGTTTAAAAAAAACTGAGTGCAAGACCCGAGTCTAAGACGCGCAATCCGTTTCTTAGGGTCTGGATATTGAAATTAAAATGCATCATAATTTTCATTTTGAATTGAATCATAGTACTGTAATGGTGAATGTTCATTTTTCGTCATTTCAATTGTTTTAAAATTGCCTTTGGAAATTGGTTAAAAACTGCCTGTTGAATTTAAAGTACTGTATGAGATGCACCAAAGCTTTAAAACTTTTAAAAAAGTGTTACTGTATACCCGCCTTTGACGTGCACCCTCTTATTTTTCTCAATTTTGAAAAAAAAAAGTTGCGTGTGGTGCTGAAGTAAATACTGTATAGTACCATACAATATTATGATTTAGTGGAAGACTTGAATGATGCTGTTCTGCACGCAGAGTACAGTAGTGTACTGTATATTGGTATGTTTGTGTGATAAATTTAAACGCCACCTTGACTTGTTAGCAGTGCATGCTCGAGGACAATGCAATTTACTGTATATGCTTTAATAAATTCCCCCAGTATTTTTTTTAGATACAGTGCTGTGTAGAACTTTTCTGTCATTGAATAGTGACCACTTCTGATTGGTGACTTTCACTTACTTCCAACAGTTGAGACTGTGGGACAAGAGGGAAAGAAAAGATAAACGAACATGGTGAAAAAAGGAAAAACTTTTTGATTGCAACTTTTCCTTTGAAACCAAGATAGGTGGCCTCAAGAATTGATGATAGCGATGGAAGGGGTTTGTTGGTTTTTAGCTTTTGATGCATGACGCGAATTACTTTTTTGGATTAGGAGAATTTGATAAATTATTTTTTGACTTGGCTTCTATAAAAAACCGGCTTAGCTTTACTGAGACCTGGCCATTATCAAATGCTGGCTTCTATTTGGGACCAGGAGGTTATTAGAGAAAATACGGTACTGTATGCAGATTTATAAATACATTAACGATTGATGGTGATTTATTTAGACTGCAGTATTTTCATTCTTTCCCCCTAGTTTTTATTTTGCAAAGTAAAGTAGAGTACTGTATCATGTAATAATCTGATCACCTGCAAGTTCTGGAAGCACACGCTTTGTTAAAGCACCTCAATTCCACGCTATAAAATCTGAGGACGATTAAATGTTGCTCGCGTTGATATTTTGAGAATACTGTGATGACAGGAATTCCAAGACTCGTTACACTGGTGTTTATGTACAGTATTTAGTTTTTGACCGGGTAAATAAAAAATTTAAAAAAAAAAAGCGGTTTAAATTGCAGGTGGCGTTAACGGAGGAGACGGTGTTCGAAGTGATGTCTTTGGCCCAGTGCGTGGGCCTGGACCAGTTGCATCAGTGGACGGAAGAACACGTTGCAGGATCTCTGAACCCCTTGAATGCCTGTGCCCTTTTTGGCGCAGCTGTGGCCCTGGAAGAGCGGACGAAAGGTGAATGAGGGTGGAGAAACACGATGCATCATTTGGACATTTTCCTGACATCATTGCTTGCTTGATTGATTTTGCAGGGTGTATTTCGAAGTCCAGCGGTGCTACATTCGTGGACACGTGCGTGTCTTATATTGGCGAGAATGCGATCGAATGTGTCCGAACTCCGTCCTTCTGCGCCCTCTCGAAAGAGGCCCTCATCCGGCTCATTTCTTCGGACCAGGTACAATTTCGAGTCGAATGTTCTGTTTGATCCACGGGATTTGGTGAATGAGAAAGAATCAACGTAAACTATCATTTTCGGACTGAAAGAGTCGCCGAGTCTCCTGTGGCTCTCGACAATGCAAATGGAACACGTGTGTAAATTGGACAAAATGCACAGAATTTTCATAATTTATATTTTTTTATCTGAGCACGCTTTAATAATTGACAGGCCTTATGTTGGCCAAGAACTTACCTCCCGTGGGTTTTCAAGTCATCTTTCCGTGATTTCTTTTTTTTTCTAAAGACCGCAATGTATCACGTTTATCATTAAGCACATTGAGGAGCTGCAATATTTACCGTACTTCTTTCATCCTTTGAAAAACTAGCTACTTTTTTTTCTTTTGTGTGCGCCAACGCGTGTCATTCAAACCTTTTTTCTTTCTTTTCCATGCATCAGTTTGCATTGGAAGAAGAGGAGGTTTGGCGAGCAGTTTTGGCGTGGGCAAAAACGCAAGCGTCTGTGAATGCAGCGACGAGTGCGTGGACAGAGGAGGAGAGGCAGAAAGTCTGCTCCTTTCTAGCGCCGGTCATTCAATACGTTCGTCTTTTGCTCATTGGTGCGTTGACTAGAACTTACCGAACTTCCATTTTTTTCTTTCTTGCTGGCGGACTCTCGCTGCAACGAAATTCAGGGGAATAAAAAGAAAGAGAAGCGTTGTAGAGAGAACTTTTACAGAGAAAATCGTTGTAGACGAGATTATTATAGTGATAGTCCACGTATATAAGCATTTGTTTTCATTTTCAAAGCATGTTTCAAGCTTTTTTTCGGTTTGTGAAGTCGATTTTGTAATGAATTTCACTGATTTAGTCATTGGGTTAAGATTGGTGTGAATAGTACTTGAGGAATTGTTTGATGTCTACAGGAGGTTTAAAAGAGGAAAAAATAAACATGTGATGCATAAAAAGTCAAGTTTCGATGTTGAGAAATGAGGGCTTGTTTCAAAGCAGCGTTATTTAATGAACCATCGGTTTCCGTCAATGAAAACAAAACAAAAATTTGTCGTGGCAGACAGTCAAGTGTTTGCCGAGGAAGTGGAGCCCACGGGATCGGTGCCACTGGAGCTGACGAAGGAGAGGTACAAGATTGCCGCCCTGAGTGGCGGGACGCTGCCCGTGCCAGCGACGGCCGGGTCCCAGCCGGGTGGTGGTGGCGGAGCTGGCGGCGGCTGTGGTGGTCCCGGCAAGTTCCGCCAGAATTCCGGCAACGGCGTGGACCCGCGGTTCCAGCCCCGGGCGCCGCCCAACCGCTTCTTTCCGGGCTCGCAAATTCTTGCCAGGGTGATGAATTCTTCTTCTGTGTCTCGTTTTTATTTTTTATTTTGGCCGATTGAATGATGACTTCGTTTCCTTCTCTTGAAAACCCTGTCTGCGCAAATGAGAGGATACTACTTTCTAGCTTTATGGTTTTTGGGGCCTTGATCACGAAAGCATATTCATCAGAATCGAATACAGTACTGTATTCATTTAATTTTTGAAGAAGGAAATAATTTATTGCCCGACTTTTCGTCTCCTGACGCAAGAGGGAACTCATTTATTATTAATTTCGTGTCGCAGGAGGATGCGGGGTTCCAGAGGCTGTTGAACGAATGGTACGGGGATCCGCGGGAAAGTTGGACGATGGTGTTCAGGGCGTCGCAGCACAACTTTTCCGCGCAAGCATTCCACCACTTTTGCGACGGAGTGGCGCCATCTTATGTATTGGTTTTGGTGAGTGAACACTTATTGAAGGATTCTGAAATTTTTGTTGTTGCATTAATTCTACAATCTGATTCACGGCAGTGATGTTTATTCATAACACTTGGAAGTGATGTTTTTTTTTTTTTAGTTTGTGAATTCTTTAATCTGAAGAATGCTGATGGAAAGTTGTTCGGGTCAACAGAATCCTGAGCTCTATTAATTCTAACTCTGTGTATGGTCGATATCCATGAAATTCATCCAATTTTTACTACCTCACTCGAAGACATCATTCGTTATTTTCGGCTTTTTTTCAAAGAGATACTTGAAAAGTTAACGAAATGTAGACCATTAGTTGAGCCATCAAAGCATAATAATGTGTACTATCACGTTTGGAGGCGTCCGAGTGAACAGCGGAAAGAAATGATCGATTTGATTTAATTCTGACCGGGTTTTCGTGATGCGTTGCAGGGCTCTAAAGGCGAAGTGTGCGGCGGCTTCAGCGACGTGCCGTGGGGCGCCGTCGGCCCCAAGTCTGCTGGCGGCCCGACTTCCAGCAGCTGCAGCAGCAGCAACAACAACCCTGCCACCGGCGGCGGCGCCTCTTCGTCCGGCTACTGCGCCTCGTCCAACGCCTTCCTGTTCACGCTCAAGAACTCGCACGACGTGCCGCCGAGCAAGCTGCCGGTCGTCAAGCGGACCTTTGCCATCTCGCAGCATCCGGACTTCGGGCCGACTTTCGGCGCCGGCGCCGACCTCTGCATCGCCGACCAGTGCCACGTCAACTGCGAGAGCTACTCGAACTTGCCGCACTCGTACGACGGCGACAACGCCTTCTCGGGCCTCCTCATGGGCGCCTACAACTTCCGCGTGGCCGAGTACGAAGTCTTTACGCCGTCCCAGGCGCAGAATGTGGACAAGGACAAGGATCATGATTGACTGCTGAAGACGACCATTACTTGATCTGATGATTGATAGATTGTTTCTCTTTTGTTTTACCCCCGTGTTCTGTTGAATTTTTCACTCTCAATAGGTAAATGATTTTTCCACTTTTGCTACAAAACGTGCGTTGCCTGCATGTTGAATCCAGTTGTAATAGCCAGGATTGTTATATTTTATTCAGATGAGACATTGGGTGAAGCAGAGATTTCTTGTGATCAATATTCGAGTTAAATTCCATCTTTCTTCATACGGAACAGCGTAACAAAATACTCGAAATACCCCCTAATCATGAGCATTATTTTAATATAATCATGCATTACTAGAGACAGGATTCATTTCCTTTTTCGCGCACTTTTTATTTACATCTGCCAGATAATATTGAATCTGTTTTAAAGTAAAGCGAAAAAGAAAATTTCTTGAGGCTGTAACTTTTTTCTTTGTCTTAGCATCAAAATATAGTTAATATACTTCTTGACTCTTGAACAATTGCCATGTTGACACGGCCCAGTTAAGATTCAAAATAAGGAAAACGTCTCGCAGACCAATATTGAAGGGGTTGGACAGGCAAGTGTTTGTTGATCCATGAGTAAGTAAATGTGCCATGTGTGGAAACTATCCGTCCTCAATTGTGGATTTTTTCAGTGCCTTAAGTGAAAATGTCTTGAACTGTTGTTGGTATTTTTGAAGATAAATAAAAGTTGAATATTTTTTGTCCAGAACGAGGGTTTTTCTTTTTGAGTTACATTCAAACTTCTCTTTATCCACGGGAGGAACAAAACCCAATAATTTTAAATGACCTGAAGAAGTAATTGCAAATAAAAAAAGGAAGCCTCACCAATAGCTCTCTTGATCTTGCCCATCACCATTTGGTTCGGAATCGCTCGGCCGGCTTCGTAGTCAGCGATCACTTCCGGCTTCTCGCAGACTTTCTGCAACCCAAAATGCCATCAATTTACCACCATTTCGTAATCACGGAAATGGAAAAAGTTTGGAAACCTGTTTTTACATTGACAGCAAAGCTTTACGGAATAGTGCATATTTATCAACAATAAAATTGCCATTCTTAATTACCGTCTTTTCCCAAAATGTCTATTATGTACAGTACTCCTGTAATCGAAATAATCCAAGGCCTACAGCTAAACGAATAATATATAAAAAACAAAACAAAAAATTTCGACGCGAGATTCTTGTTTGGCCATCGATTGAAATACGCTCTTTAAAATCAGCTGGACCTCGCCACACCAGATGGACAAGACGAAATTGCAAGCAAAAAAAAGAGCAAGCTCAAATTTAGTAAAAATAAAAAAACAGAGAAGACATATCTATTGTACTGTACAGTACTGTAAAGAGCTGCACTAACTTCGGTAGGCCATGGAATCAAAAAAGCACCAGGGGGCCTCGGCGCCGGACCCGGCCTTCACGAAGGCAACGTAGTGCGACTCCTGGATGCAGACGACGGCAAAGAGCTCCATGAGCACGCGGCGTCGGAGGGGTGACACAGCCGTTGGCGTACCCGCGAACCCGGGACGGCATAAAGTAGTCGCGTGCCTCCTGGCTATCACGCTCAACACGCGGCTCTCGTGGTCAACGCGCTTCCGGTGACTGTGCACCTTGTTGAGACACGGCCGGCAGCAGGCCGTCGACTCCAGGCCCTCCTGCACGTCGTAACAGTCGACGTACTCGACCTCGGCATGCGCGCCGCACACGTGGCACGACCGGGGGGCGTCCAGCAACGCGTCCGTCACGTCCAAAGCCATGGACGGCTGGATCCACGCGTATACATCTTGAAGGACGGCCCGCAACGTGGCATCTGCTGGATGATCAGGCAAGGCGGCATCTGCGAAACACAGAAAAAAAAAAAAAAACTCCAATGCACGGATTGAACCCATGAATACAAAAAATATTTTCCGATGGCTTCGAAAAGACTGTACAGGCCATTGATGAAGGCATTTCTTGTGTGCGATGTTGAGGTTGAAGACCGAAACAAAGTGTCGATTCATTTTTTTTTTTAATGTAAATTGTGGAACTCGTCAATGCCAACAGTATTTCAATTTCCTTCCAAAAAAAACCTTCATTCACCAAATCACAAAAACGAAATATCAAGACGTGATTCTTGTAGTTCTCAAATTCGGGAGTGCAACCCCCCGATTGACTAATTGCAATTGACCAAATGTTTATGATCAATTTTTACCGGTATTTTTTTCGGATCAACATACTGTAACTGATTAAATTCAGTTGGAATTCATGTTCAAATTCGATATCCTGGGGTCTCGTATTTTGGAAATCAAAGTTCTTCAGTCACTAATAATTGGGGATAAAATTTCATTTAAATGCTCAACTGAAAAATCCAGATATATGCGATTGCGCGTCTTACTCATCGAGGGGGCGCCTTGTACTCGAGTAAACACGGTAATACAGTACAATCTTTACACTGGACCGTCAACAAATGGCGGATCCTTATAAGAAGGATTCACGTTCACCTACATCTCCGGTTCAGGAATCCGAACTGCGCTGGCGATGATGGCCCTGATTCGGCTGAAATCCTTTTCCGAATGCAGCGGTGTGCGTGTGACTCAATTATTCCACTGTACGGCAAGCATCCACTTAATTGTGAAACTTGGATTCGATGAAGATCCATATCGCTGGAATTCTCGCTACTCCATAATTCGCCCTGGAATTCCAAAAGTTCTTTGTATACATTTTCTTCATTCACAATAATCAAGATGAATAGAGCATTATTAAAATGCTCAAAACTTGAGGAATACGGGGGTTGGTTCACTTTCTACAATTGAAACTTTGAAAGCTCATTCAAAGCTGCTCAGCTTGATTAAATCAAAGCACTCGCATAAATCGATACACAGAAGACAGTATTATTAGTTTCATCCAATTCAAATTAAAACAAACAACTCAGAAATGTATCATGATATACATTCGATGAAATACTTGATAAAGAAGAAAAGTCGTCGTCCTCATTCAGAAGAAAATTCATAGTCCTTATTCAGCGACTTAATCCGACTTTACATAAAATTGAACACCGATATGAAAGGATACTACAGTATATGTTCGACCGGGGGATTTTAATGAATTTTGACCAGAGACACATACATTTTAACAGACGAAATGCAAGGGCTTTTTCAATTTCTCAGCCGGAATAAAATCATATTAATTGCTAGCATTTATGTGACGTCTATATACTTACCATCATCCTGGCAGCAGTTGATTGTCTTGTCGCGAACCGGATAGGCTGCACAAATGGAAGTACAGGGTACTGCACAATGAGAGTTGACGCATTCCGTTTGAGTGGAATTCGCGCATACGCAGAATATTGTTTCACAAACACCAGTTCAGAATTATCCTTATACCTTTCCGAGAAAATGTCACTAGCACAACGCGGGGCGGTTCGTTCAATAACACTGTCAATGACAGCACCTTTCACGAATCACTCATTGACCTGGTCTGAAATCCAGAGGGAAAAAAGAAGATCTCATACGCACATTTGTCCAAACATCACATGATTGAGAGGGCTTAACTATGCTGAGCTAAGCGAATTTTCCGGCCACGATCCCATACTTTCCTGAGAATGGTTGATTATTATCAACCTAGATACGCACAGCATGCATCGTTCAAATACTCCACACACTTTTCAGCAATTATTGATAGGAGCTAACTATCAATGGGGATTTATAGAGTACTGTGAAGGACTCTGCGGCCAGGCCTGCTAATAAATCAATCCTACACCTCAAATCCTGTTCTTAGATCCTTATACAGGTGATACCTCGCAATTTGACCATCCCACAATTCAACGTTCAAATTTGCAAGGAGGTTGACTCGCAATTTGACCCTTGCCCCAAAATTTGACCTGCTTAGGCCACTTGTTCCGCATGTTTATACTGATACTTCTTAATTTCACAAGTGTCTCGCAATTCAACTGCTTTGCAATTTGACCCTATTTCAGCAACGTATTAGGGTCGAATTTTGAGGTACCACCTGTACTGAGTCCATGTCATGTTCAGACCCTGTCAACCTTGTTAAGAAAGCACCCGAGCAAAATTTCCACAACAGAAGCAATATCCCGAAGTAAACACAAATAAATGAAAAAACGAGTAAATATTCCCATTCAACCATCTCTTATTCGACGAGTGAATTGACATGCGACCGCGGATGATACACAACGCAAATGATACGAAGCAGAAGTACGGATTCCCCGATTTTGTTCCGGTCGATTCTCATTGTAAAAATAGTACGTACACGTATACTTCAGACGATTGAAAAAAAAAACTCACGATTATAATACGTAAATGACGCACCTCCTCTCCGTCTGAATATAAAGCAACTAAAAAATTCGGCATTCGAAATTTTCTTCAGAGACAATAAGCTCCTCAAACAAAGATTGAAATTTCGGCTAGCGAAGATGACCTTCGAAATTTCCAGTACAGTACTGTGAAAGCGGTGTAAGTACACTTTCAGAACATTTCCTCCGTTTTTGTTATAGTAAGCTCATTCGAAAATGAATAAAAATCAATCCTAAATAAGGAGCATCGGTCAACTAATTCACACATGATTCGGAGTTCTCCGAGTTTACAAGGGAGTTCTTCAGTTCAACGTGATTGAATATTCAAATCCTGCTCAGGTTCAGATGAAGTTTCTGCCACGCACTACATTGGATGCGTTGCAATGGTCCCGATTTTAAATTTTATTCGAATATCCGGTTCAATTTCTCAGATATGACAAAAAAAAATTGAAATTCTGTTCACGTTATTGCGGTATTTGATCAAAGAAGAATATCTGGCCTCGTCATATTTCGGGTATTCATCCGTGATTTGTCCCATCGTTGCACTCTGGACAATGTGTTCGCAGCACAACTCTTCCGTAGTCTGGAAAAAGTGGTTCAAAACAAAGAGAGTCAGTAATCAAAAAATGGGAGAATCACGAATGCTCCCGACTTCATGAATATGGCCTGAGCAATGCTATTTATTCGCATTTCCCGCTCATCCGTCATCAAATGAAACCTTGCTTATCATTATTTTTACTGGGAAGATAATTTTAAAAATGTATTGCATGCAAAAATAATCGTCTTCGGCAATCTACACGAGTGTTTCCGCTATGCAGTATTTGAAAGTTTCTTGTTATTTTAGCGGACACTCGAAAAAACCTTTCCTTTTCCAACACAACGCACTTTCCACGAATAAAAAAAAATATCTCTAGCTGTAGCTCTTAAGCTTGCGGATATTCCGTGTATTCACTCTTTTCGTCTATTCAATCATAATATGCTGATAAGATTTTTAAAAAAGGATCGAAAATGCTTATTTTGCCGCAAAATTCCATTAAAAACCGCGAAACTCATGCATCAGCTGTTATCTCGAATTCGGGCTCTGGATATTTACGTACATCGCGGCGAACTGAATCATTCTTTCGTGATACAAAAGGTATGAATCCATTTAAAACAAATCAGACTCGAATTCAATTCTACATTTTAGCAATTTTGAACAGTTGAGACTTTGGAAAAACTATTTTCTGCCAGCCAAAATCGAATTTTCTCCTTACAGTAATCAGAATTCAGGGGTAGGAAGACCTTTCTCACACAAAATAATTGCAAAATTATTAATAATGGAAGCTGCGAAGGAGTAAACAGACACAGGCCAACAATAACTTATTATGAAGCTCAAAACCTGCGAAGATGCGTCTATTCGCGTATTTAAGCAGATCTCGTAAGTAATAAAAGCACCTCTTTTTCCAATTTTCAACAGAAGCAATCAAATTAAATTGAAATACTGTGCTTTCATTTTTAGGAATAATATCTATCCGTTAATAGTCATTATCTATTACTCAAGAAATGCGGCATTCAATTGAAACATGTGGACAATTATTTCTTTTGGAATTGACGTTAAAATAGTCAAGACAGTCAGTTTTCATCACTTCTAATGCATGAGTCATCAACCAGCATCAGAGGGGATGAGGAAGGGTTTCGTAACCCCCTACTCATCATTTTCCGGAAAAACCTAAATTTAGTTAGACATTTCAGGTTCCCGGAAAGTCGGAACACTAAAAGTAGGCGAGTGGTTGAATTCCCTCATGAATGGAATTGCCATGTTGTGCATGAAAGATCTATACACGGGGGATTGTTCATATTCGAGGATATTGCTTACATATTCCCGTGAATACGGCATTTGAGAAAGAATATTGAATGAACTCACCGCCAACACAAAATACGTGTTTTTCGGGACACGTATACCAGAGGCCATACTGAAAAGCTGTCGCATACAGATTAACCCTCTCGTCTTTTGCTTCCACAAACCATTCAGCTTCTTCCAGCAATTTTATCAACTCCTTTTCTTTTCCTTCCGTAAAAGAACCACTATTGAACAGTTTGTTCTCAACTTGAGAAATGAAGAGCTGTCTTTCAGGCCCGATATCTTCATCCTGAGTGAAGGAAACAGTGTTATTTTCATTATCATCATAGCATTTAAATTTCAAACGCAGTCTCATATACAGTGGTATTCAATGAAGTAGCCAAAGCTATATCTTGAAAGAATACTTACCCGCAAGATTTTCAGCAATTTCAAGAAACGGAAGCGTCGGATTTCTGCAGAAAAAGCTTCCAATCCCGAACCATTCAGGTTGTGCTTTCTTGACATAACCAATCTTGCCAGCTGTATATGAAAGAACAAGCGAAAAAAAGGGCGTAAATTCCTTTTAAATTTCACCCTTGAAAAAAGTCTGCTACTCTGCATTCATTCCATTACTGAAATGTTTGTCGAGCCAAAGCGTTGAATACTTTGGTTTTTTGTCGGAAAACTAGTTTGAATGGTATATTTTCTTGCATTGAATCATGCTTTCCGGTTGAATACCTGTTCATTGGTTCAAAACCATAAGTTTATCTTGAGCGAGTAAATCGAGTGAAGAATATCGTATTGCTGAGGAAGAATTGAAAGCGTGCAACAGTAATCGCTATAAATCAACTAATAATGCAAGACACACTCATTGAAGAAGAAAAATCAGAAAAACATGACTGCGGATATTGATGGAAAAGTCATTGAAATTCCCTCTTTTTCGCAAAAATATCCCGTTTTCAAATTGGAGTTTCCTGATGGGATAAAATCTAGAAAGCAAAGATCCGCTCCAACGCACCTCACGCAGCTTCAAATTCATGAAACCGTCGCCTGAGAAAAGACTTGCTTCTTCCAAATCCAAAATAACAGCGGCAAGTGCTCCGAGAAGATGGATACGGTTGGAAATACAATTGGATTCCATTCCATTCAATTGTTTGAAATTCCAGGTCAATTGTTTCTTCCCTTTTTTCGATAAGTGTTCACGTCTGATTCCCTTGGGCCAGTCGGCATTCTTTAGCAAATAAAATCATCGTGAAATACTGCAAAAAAATGCTTCGATGACGAAACTCACCTTGCGAAGCCTGGATCCAAATCTTGATGATTCGGACGCTTCCTCTCTTTCCGGCACTTCAGAATTCTGAGACCAAATCTCGTCGAAGAATTTCTTAATGAAATTTTCCTTTGAGAAAGCTTCTTGGATCATTTTCCCCGGTGAGTCACCAGTTTGATCTAAACGGAAAAAATTCCGTGATTATTTTCAACTTTTCTCGACGCTTGATATATGATCCTCCCAAAAAATTGAGGAATGTTTAAGAAATTCTGTCATTAACTTAAAATCTTAAATTATCCGTACGTCGGACAATCGTTTCTGTATCAGAATCCTTCAAAACATTGTGGGATCGATGAAAACCGTACTGCAGCAAGCCTCTCTTCACGTGCTGACTATACACGAAGACGACCTGGGCTTTTCACCCATTCACTGGATATTTTCATGCAACCCACACTTCCATCATCCGCCACATTAAAATTGCAACCAGCATAACTTTTTTTTGTATCATTAGTACATAATCTTCGTGACATCTTGAATATAATTTGTTCATTACTCGACATTTTGAAAATATTAGACGGCTCGTAAACATGTGCGTGAACAGTAAATCCAATGAAATATTTCGTGACTATTGAGAAACGGATTGGACTTTCAACTCTGCCTGTCCTTCATTTCAATACATTTGCGAGTAAAGAAAATTTGAATGTTACGGTCAGGACATGAAAAAATGTTGCTGCATCAAAATCAGCTCGTTTTCATCGATGAAGCTTGGTCTCATTCAACTCGAAAAGTATACGAGACCTATGTTATGCACCCATCTTCATCCCCATACAATCGATAGCAATAGAGAGGATCTATAGAATCCTATAGATGTCTGTTAATGTGTGAAATTTCTCAGTATACCTGTCAGTTTTTCGAGTAGTCTTCGCAGATCGTCGTTCTGGCCAAATATTTTGTTTCTCACGGCAGTAACTTTTCCAAAGGCAGAGTTGACCTCATCCTTGTAGCGGTGAGAAGAAACAATCGGCGTTTTGCAGCGCGGACACACTCTTGGTCCAATTGCTTCCATTGGCCGTCGCATCCAATGGTCCAATCCACCAACCTCCATCACGTGCTTGCACTTTTGAAGCAGGATGAATCTTCCAGTGAAAATATGAGAAAATATCATAAAAATTTCTCAATTACGTTATAAGAAGAAAATCATTGAATGAGAATAGTTATTTAAAGGATGATTTGGTGTCATTCTAACGCGCGGACATTTTTCTCTTCCGCAGGAGGGGATGATAGATTCCACGAAAAAGTATTCTGCCGTATTCTTTCCGACGACCACCCTCTTCGTTTCTGGAAATTTAAAAATCTGCACTAAAAAATACGCTGTGCCCACCTGACTACTACATTTTTATAGTCACTAAATGATTTTTTAAAAGTAAGAAAAAGCCAAACCAGAGCATCGGTTGATATCAACAACGTTCATATCAGCAAGGCAATTCCAGAGTTTAAATATCGCATAGGCAGAAAACCATCTCAATGGAATGTAGTTATCGCAATAATAAAAAATGAAAGAAAGTTAGAAAAAAATATCGCTGTCATGACGACGCAGGCTTTAAAAAAATTGTATGTTAAAGAAAGCGTTTTCTTTCAATATATAGCTCCCATAAAGTTCTTAATCTAGGTTTGACACATTATATAGTGATCGGAATAATAATCATGCTAATCTGAAAAAGGTAAACATTAGAAAATGAGGCAGTTGCGCAGTAGCCAATACAGTAATCGGGGAGGGGGAATTCACAGGATTAAAACATGCACGAAAGAATGCATGCAACATTTTTCCAAGATTTCATGCCGTTTACAATTCGCGTCGCTAGATTTTGACCTATTAAAGAGGACACCCCAAATCACTTATGAAAAATACTCCGTGAGTTTACGAAATGTAATGAACAAAATTTCGTTTCGAATCCAAACATTATACCTGGCATCGGGTTCGTTGCTAACGTCGTTCTTTGTTACGTCGAAAAACTCCACTGTATCTCCTCCGCACTCGCGACACGGCGGGCAGATTTCTCCGCAGAGTCCAACGCATTTGTGCTGGCAACTGAGAACTTTCTCACACGCTTGGTTGCACTTATCGGCGCCTCTGCCACAATCGTCGGAGCATCGGAGCTTACATGGTTTGTGGCGACAGCCACTTTTGCATTTCTCCTGCAGTACAATCATGTTCACCGTTTTTTACTTATTTTCGGACATTGAAAATATGCAGCAGGTTGTCTCACGGAATTAAAAAAGCTAATTTGGTGATGCGTTCATCTCTCAGCGATAATGTTGACACTCATTCAGAATTTGTTCATCAGCTGTTACATAATTCGATCTACAATTTGGAAATTCCGGAGAACCTAAAGCAATAACTCCGGTTTCTCAAAATTCAATTAACCACGAATGGGGACATTCATCCAGGGGAAGAGATTTTCTGCGTGATGAAAATTACAAAAATTATCCATTCCTGTAAGGATTGAGAAAAGCAATAAGCGTCTCTAACGCAACAAGGTCACGGAATACCTAATGCAGTATTTCATGCAGTATGAATCACAATCATTTATATGTGTAATNCTTTGAGAAAGCTTCTTGGATCATTTTCCCCGGTGAGTCACCAGTTTGATCTAAACGGAAAAAATTCCGTGATTATTTTCAACTTTTCTCGACGCTTGATATATGATCCTCCCAAAAAATTGAGGAATGTTTAAGAAATTCTGTCATTAACTTAAAATCTTAAATTATCCGTACGTCGGACAATCGTTTCTGTATCAGAATCCTTCAAAACATTGTGGGATCGATGAAAACCGTACTGCAGCAAGCCTCTCTTCACGTGCTGACTATACACGAAGACGACCTGGGCTTTTCACCCATCAATCACTGGATATTTTCATGCAACCCACACTTCCATCATCCGCCACATTAAAATTGCAAACAGCATAACTTTTTTTGTATCATTAGTACATAATCTTCGGGACATCTTGAATATAATTTGTTCATTACTCGACATTTTTAAAATATTAGACGGCTCGTAAACATGTGCGTGAACAGTAAATCCAATGAAATATTTCGTGACTATTGAGAAACGGATTGGACTTTCAACTCTGCCTGTCCTTCATTTCGATACATTTGCGAGTAAAGAAAATTTGAATGTTACGGTCAGGACATGAAAAAATGTTGCTGCATCAAAATCAGCTCGTTTTCATCGATGAAGCTTGGTCTAATTCAACTCGAAAAGTATACGAGACCTATGTTATGCACCCATCTTCATCCCCATACAATCGATAGCAATGGAGAGGATCTATAGAATCCTATAGATGTCTGTTATTGTGTGAAATTTCTCAGTATACCTGTCAGTTTTTCGAGTAGTCTTCGCAGATCGTCGTTCTGGCCAAATATTTTGTTTCTCACGGCAGTAACTTTTCTGAAGGCAGAGTTGACCTCATCCTTGTAGCGGTGAGAAGAAACAATCGGCGTTTTGCAGCGCGGACACACTCTTGGTCCAATTGCTTCCATTGGCCGTCGCATCCAATGGTCCAATCCACCAACCTCAATCACGTGCTTGCACTTTTGAAGCAGGATGAATCTTCCAGTGAAAATATGAGAAAATATCATAAAAATTTCTCAATAACGTTATAAGAAGAAAATCATTGAATGAGAATAGTTATTTAAAGGATGATTTGGCGTCATTCTAACGCGCGGACATTTTTCTCTTCCGCAGGAGGGGATGATAGATTCCACGAAAAAGTATTCTGCCGTATTCTTTCCGACGACCACCCTCTTCGTTTCTGGAAATTTAAAAATCTGCACTAAAAAATACGCTGTGCCCACCTGACTACTACATTTTTATAGTCAGTAAATGATTTTTTAAAAGTAAGAAAAAGCCAAACCAGAGCATCGGTTGATATCAACAACGTTCATATCAGCAAGGCAATTCCAGAGTTTAAATATCGCATAGGCAGAAAACCATTTCAATGGAATGTAGTTATCGCAATTATAAAAAATGAAAGAAAGTTAGAAAAAAATATCGCTGTCATGACGACGCAGGCTTTAAAAAAATTGTATGTTAAAGAAAGCGTTTTCTTTCAATATATAGCTCCCATAAAGATCTTAATCTAGGTTTGACATATTATATAGTGATCGGAATAATAATCATGCTAATCTGAAAAAGGTAAACATTAGAAAATGATGCAGTTGCGCAGTAGCCAATACAGTAATCGGGGAGGGGGAATTCACAGGATTAAAACATGCACGAAAGAATGCATGCAACATTTTTCCAAGATTTCATGCCGTTTACAATTCGCGTCGCTAGATTTTGACCTATTAAAGAGGACACCCCAAATCACTTATGAAAAATACTCCGTGAGTTTACGAAATGTAATGAACAAAATTTCGTTTCGAATCCAAACATTATACCTGGCATCGGGTTCGTTGCTAACGTCGTTCTTTGTTACGTCGAAAAACTCCACTGTATCTCCTCCGCACTCGCGACACGGCGGGCAGATTTCTCCGCAGAGTCCAACGCATTTGTGCTGGCAACTGAGAACTTTCTCACACGCTTGGTTGCACTTATCGGCGCCTCTGCCACAATCGTCGGAGCATCGGAGCTTACATGGTTTGTGGCGACAGCCACTTTTGCATTTCTCCTGCAGTACAATCATGTTCACCGTTTTTTACTTATTTTCGGACATTGAAAATATGCAGCAGGTTGTCTCACGGAATTAAAAAAGCTAATTTGGTGATGCGTTCATCTCTCAGCGATAATGTTGACACTCATTCAGAATTTGTTCATCAGCTGTTACATAATTCGATCTACAATTTGGAAATTCCGGAGAACCTAAAGCAATAACTCCGGTTTCTCAAAATGCAATTAACCACGAATGGGGACATTCATCCAGGGGAAGAGATTTTCTGCGTGATGAAAATTACAAAAATTATCCATTCCTGTAAGGATTGAGAAAAGCAATAAGCGTCACTAACGCAACAAGGTCACGGAATACCTAATGCAGTATTTCATGCAGTATGAATCACAATCATTTATATGTGTAATCCTTATAATCTGCGAGGGTTCAAACAAAAGTTCTCGCCAAGGCAATTTCGCCATTTTCATCGACAGCCGCCATTTAGCTGTGAAGGCGGCTGTCGATGAAAATGGCGAAATTGCCTTGGAAGACCTGGAGGCAACCCTTGGAATTACTGCCACATTGATTTCAAGAATTCTAAGGGGAAAGAGAGGAAGCGTCCGAATCATCAAGATTTGGATCCAGGCTTCGCAAGGTGAGTTTCGTCATCGAAGCATTTTTTTGCAGTATTTCACGATGATTTTATTTGCTAAAGAATGTGCTAAAAAAAAACTGCAGGAAGGGCGCCTCATCTGTTGAGTGGATAGCAAAACTCTGCCAGGGTGAATTTTTCAAAACATTAAAAAAAATTGTCAAACAGGGCTGATTTTTTTTTTGTGCCGAAGAATATGTTTGCCCTAGAGAATACTTTTTTTCAGCTCGATTAGACGCCATTTTCATTTTCATTCCGAGAACTTTCGTTAGAACCCTCGTAAGTGCAGTTGACAGGGGAGTGACTCAATAGGTCCAAATTTGGGGCACGTCTATATAATCCAGGTTTCGATTCGACAGAAGTTTTCGATTGTTATGTACAAGTATTGTAATCAATGCGGGCATACGTCATTTTTGTAATTTCTTGAATATTTCCCCGTAAGTTTCTTGAAAAATCAAAACACAAGCAAAATATCCGAACAGCTCAGCTTCAATTTGAAAAACTACATTAGGGTCAAAGCACTACAGTATATTTAACAGCCAACTTTTATCCGATCCCTGAATATACGTGTGTCTATATTTACGCGAATATAAGCACCCCGTTTTCCAATTCTATAAAAGCTCAAAACCTAGGGAATGAATGATTTTATTCGCCTCTTAATGGAGTTTAATTTTGTACATGACAATTTAGGGGCGGGGGTGCTTCCATTCGAGGGGTACCTACATTCGCGTACATACGACATACGGTACTTAACAGTATCGAAGTTCTTTACGTTCTTCTGGGTTTTTTCCTCGTAAATATATTAATCAAACGGAAATCTTTTCGAACAAAATGAAAATCTTTTCGTCCATAGGGCCAGTAATAGCAAATAAAAGTGGAGGAATTTCCTTCCATGAAATATTGTACGTGTTTCTTCAGAGCCTAATGAGAAAATGTTTCTTCTCACCATACACGGAGAGCAAGGCTCTCCGCACAGCTTCGTACAAGACGAATGAGGACAGGAATAACCACACTTTTCTTCACAGGGCGGGCAGTTGAAACTGCAAGCAGCCTTACAAACATGTCCACAGACAAGTTGGCGTTCGCATGCCTTTTCGCAAGGCACATGTATCCTGCCTTGAAAACAGCTAGAACATTTTCCAGAGCATGTGTGTCCACATGACAGAATTGCTCCACAAGGATGGTCGCAATATTCCATTTCCTCATCGGCGGACAAGATTTTGCCTCTTCGAATAATTTGACAGGGAAGTCTCACCTGATGGCCGCACCTGCAAGAACGTTATCATTCGTCTCTTTTAAAATAACATACCGGCTGATCAGCGCTGCAAAAATGAAAAATCAACCAACCTCGCAATTTTTCCGACTTCTACCATAACCGAGCAGCTCGTCGTGCAGCTGCTGGCACACTTTTCTGCACACACGTGTCCGCAAGTCAAAATTTTTCGACATTTTTTCTTGCAATGTGACTTTTCAGGAACTTCCATACATTCCAATGTCACAGAATGAGAGCAATCGGGAATTCTTTTTTCGACCTTCACGCGGCAGCATGAGAGGTTATGAAAAAAAAGGAAAAATTATGAGTGGAACTGAAACAAGGATTTCTTCGATATTAATTTAAAATAAACATTTTTACGAGAAAAAAAAATATGCATCAAAAGAAAATAGACGAAACTAACCTTGGCTTTGCATTTGACCTTCTCTGGTTCCACGTGACAAAGAGATTTAACGGTATGGCCGCATACTAACGTAAAATTCACTGGCTCTTTGCATGGGGGACACGGATTTGCAAAGCATTTGGCTGTCGAAATATTAAAGGAGTAAATCAACCTTTCCAAACTTCAGAAAAAAAACGATATCCGTTCAGCACAATGAGACGGATCAGCGCATTCCAAAAGAAGGAGTGTAAAACAGGAACATTTGCAGAACTTGGAAAATTGCTCGCAACAATAAGTGCAGTTCTGCGCTCGATTTCTCGAAGCTGATGTATCCATCGCAACGATAATAGTTTCCATACATTCACTGTTTTTTCTTACGCGCTGAACATTTCGTCCAGTTGAGAAAATATTCATATGAACGGTGAAAACTGCCCTGCATAACGATACTGTACTGTACAGGCATTCCCAACAGATTCCTCGCTATTCAGAATAAATCAACATTTTCTGAGTGGTCAAGCAGTTCAAGCGTGAATATATATCACCCTAGAACTGCTTCACCACTCAGAAAATTTTGGTTTATTCTGAAAAGCGAACAAACCTCTATTCTGTTTTCGATCCTCCCGAATCATTCGTGATATTCATAGGCATGCTTTTTCTCAAATGCTCTCAGACTTCCGATCAAAATATTGCACCGGCAATTGAATTTACAATGTCTCATGCGTCACAAAATCTTTCACGTCGAAAGTTCAAAAATCAGCATTTTCCAAATTAAATTACAGCAATTTTGATGCAGTTTTACATTTAATGAATCTAGCATTAAAATGTCCGATCATCATAAAACTGATTACACGGTATTAAGATTGAATTAGCTCATTACACGTTTAAAACTAGCGTGCTAGTCATCTTCAAGCTTTGAAAATGACAAAAAATAGCAGGTGGCACATTGAGATTTTTGAAGTGACGACGAGGAGTCCACAGAAGCATGGATAGTCAGTCAGGATTTTTTTTTCCTGGAGTGTGCAGAATCAAATTTCATGAATCAGGAAGTAAAAAAAAAAAAGCCAGACAAACATTGCCCGTGAAAGTAAATTACATTCAGGCTAAAATAAGCGTTTCGGCATTAAATGGGTCTAGCCACACTACATAAATTTTCAAAGCCAACTTTTCTGCTGGTTGATCCCGAATGTACGTTGGGGTTGATCAAAATTTATGTAACATATCTCATTTTTCAAAATACTCGAGGAAGCCTCATACATTGGAGAAGAATGCTTCGAGTCTGCCTTGGGTAAAGGCTATACATAATGCATCAGGGTATGCTGATCATGGTAAATAAAAAAAATCCTCAGAAAAAATAAAGGTCAACTGTTGAATAGAATATTTAAAAAGATTCACTCAGATGAACAGTTTCAATTATCCCATTACCTTTACACGGGTGATTTCTTGGACAAGATTTTCCGCATGGCTTCGAACATTTCGCCAACTCATGCCCCGGGTCAGATCTGACGTGACAACGGTTTCCACAAGCATGTCCACAATGGAGTCTGGCAAAGCATTTCTCCAAGCAGTTCACCTAGAGTATTTCAAAGCCATTGCAAAAAGTCAGCTGGATTATTATTATCTCCCATGCACTCAACAAATACTACGATTAATTTTCGAGACTACGGTGCGCCAATACATGCTTATTCTGTGATCAGGACAAAAACGATCGAAGCATCAATCGCATGAATTCCGCGAAGCATTTCCAAGAAAGCTGACTCAATACTGAGTTGATTTTTCGATGAACTTCTGAAAACTGAAGCTAGACGGTTAGAATTTTAATATTCTTCAAATCTTTAGGATTTATCACTAAAATAACGGTTACGAACATATTGAAGCACAGCAGTGCTGCTCAAAGGCATGTCTACGAAGAAAAGAAAAAGAAGATAAAACAGTACCTATGGTAACGCAACATATAAACATACCTCATCAACTTTTTCACAACATTCCATTTCTCGCATATGATCGCAGGGAACGAGCATTCGTTCAACTTTTTCCGGGCATGGAGGACAAGGAGAGACCCCACAAAGTGATTTGCAGGAATGACTTTCCAACGCGGGACATTTTCTTTCGCATGGATGCCTGCATGAATTATATTTGGTTCTGTGATCCTTGTCTATGACGTGACACCATCGTTTGCACAAATGGCCGCACGGGTCAATTATTCCATTACACATCTGAAAAAGTAAGCAATTGACAAAACGCATAGAAAACCCTCCAGCACTGCTCTTAATGAATAGAAACGGAAATGATGATCTGAGGAAGGATGAGTCAACTTACTTTGGTGCAACCTCCAGCAACAGGAAATTCACTCGGCTTGAAGACAGAAATAACCTGATCTACGTGATTCTGACATCGTAACGGCAACGCTCTTCCAATCTGGTTTTCCTTCACCAATACAAGCTTTATGTTGCTCCACAGTTTGCTCCCGGCGCTCAACACATCCATGTTTCCAATGATGAACAGTCCTTGCTTTGCACGCGACAAAGCAACATTAACTCGATTGTCTGTTTTGAGAAAGCCGATGTTTCCTTCCGTGTTGCTTCTCACGAGAGACAATAAAATAATATCGTTTTCTTCTCCTTGGTAGTTGTCAACCAATGTGATCCGAACATCTTTACATGTTGGGAAGTTTGCGATCAGCTGAAAAGTCAAAAGATATCGAAAGTTTGTTTTACAGCATCAATGTAAAAGTACAGTACAATCCTCAACAATCGACTAATGATGAGGAACAATCATAGCACCACTCTTTTGCCCGCCACATAGCTGATGTAACGTTTCGGAAACTAGAAAAAGTGTCCAGATGGGGCACAGAAAAACTCGTCCAGAAAAAATATAGCCGTAAAATAAATTAGGAATTACAGCGAAAACTCAATGAGATAATATCTTACTCAGAAGTTTCAGCATGTGTCTCTCTTCTTTATTTAGGGGTATAATACTATTGTTTTCTCTCTTCCACACGTTACGTAAAGAAATCACACTCATTTCGAAATTTTAAAATTAACTTCTTAGATCAGCGAAGAAAAATTAGGTCAATTAAAAATTCTTGTGAAAGCAAATGCATTGAAAAATTAAACCATACAGCAGTGGCTGAAAAGGGGATAGTTAATGTAAACTTCAGAAACCATGCAGATGATGCACCTACAATACATATGGTTCTATATGAAAAATCGTTTGGACGAGAGACAATCGAGAGGCTTTATCCGAATAATAAGAGAGAAACTGAAAGAGTGTATCGTTGGAAATGTCCCTAGAGGAAGGATTGGATTCAGCAAATCCTGCAAATCTTCAGCACTTTTCATCAAAAACAAATGATCAGTCGTTATTTCATTCAGCGCGGAGAAACCATACAAAACAATCAAGTGAAATGAACGGAGAATGTCAAAAACTGATTTTGCCATTTCTCGAAAAAGACTGCAACGTTTAAAAAGTTTTCAGTGACCATGATTTCGAGACAAGAAAGCAGTGCGTGAGTATACCATGGATTAATCTTCAGTCTTCTTCGAAATTTTGAAAAGGTTTATTGACACTACACATTTTCAGCTCTATTACCTATAATTTCCTAGATTCAGGCGATAACGCCACATAGCTTCGACTATACAGGTCAACAAATATTGGTCAGCAGAAGCACTTTCCGAGATTCGAAGGGATCACGCAAGTGACTCACCTTTTTAAAGACGAAGAGTTGTCCTGAGTAGCCGGTCAGAATTGTGATTTGTTCACGTTTGTATCCTTGCAACAAAAGATACCGACACAACGCCAGCAAAAATTCAGCCTCCACTTTGTTGCTCTTGCTCTTTAGGTCCTCATTCTTGGAAAACAACACATATCAGAACTACCAAGATACAAATTATCTCCTAATTTACGGATTAGCTTTCTCGATAATGCCCGAGTAATCATGCCCCCGTCATGGACTCACCGATTCTTCCGGAAAATTGTGCGTGACAAAAAATACATTCTTAGCAACGCCAAGAACGTCGGCGTACTGCGTTACACTTTCGTGATCTTGTAAATCTTCGTAGACATTTAACTTGATCAAGTTCGATATTTCCGGCCTCATCCGGTGCTGCTGACGTAAACGAGCGTACGGAACACGGTTCTTCACCATTCTCTCGAACAAAGACACATCCAGTCCGTAGTTTTTAGCGAGCTTGTACACATTAGTCGAGGGCCTTAGCTGCTGTTGATCACCTACAGCAGTAAATTCAAGGAATAAAGCTTCATTCATAGCGAGAACGAATGAGAGACCTCTCACCGATCTGAATCAGATGTTCACAATGGGAAGACAGACAGCACACAATATGCGACTCCAAAACCTCTGCTGCTTCTTCAACTACGACTATATATAAAGAAAATCAAAGCAATATATAGTCGCATACAATTTTGAACAAAGATTTCCAATAAATAAGTGACAGAAAAATTGTCCAAGAACTGTAAAAAAAATAACATTTAGAAAAACGTTAAAATGCAGGCCAACTCACGAATTCTAGACTTCATGTTCTGCACGAGAGAAATGTTCCGAGCAGCTCCAGTAGTCGTCATTCCAACTACATCCAAAGACTGAGTATATTGTAATAAAGCTCCATCTTGGGCTTCTTTGTATCTTTCAACCTGCAGTCTGTACTCTTCCATGCGTGCATCTATTTTTCCGTGTATAATGCGGACAAATCTGTTTGCCCAGTACCGGTAAATCAACCATCGGGCTCTCAGGCGGGCGTTGACCCAGTTTTCTTCCGGTCCGACCAATTGTTTGGGCGGTTTTACGAGGTCCAAGTTCGCAGGAACTTTCAGAAATGCTGAATCTGCTTGAAATTTGGAGCGCATCAATTTCCAGTTTTCCAGCCGCAATTCAGCTTGCATCAAATGTTGAGTTTTTCTCATATGTTCTTCCCAGAAGCCTCCCTGCCGGTAATATTTCAGAATTTCGGAGAGCATTTCAATAATTTACTCATCAATACAGCTGAACACGAGGTCCAAACACGAGATGATCTGTCTTTTGAATGAGACTCTAATCGTATAAAAGTATCTGAATCTGTTCATTGATCGGTAACTACCACTATGTTCCATCGCTTTTTTATCAACACTTGCTTCAACCTCATTTTTTCAATTCAATGCCAAACCTTAAAAACCCCTTCAACTCCCTGTATATATAGTCCCTGCACACAAGAGTTCAACAAATCAGCAGTCACAGAATCAAAGAAAATCGGACTCGGTACTTCAATAAATACAGAAAAAAAATCGGAAACAGGACCATCACTCTTCATTATAATGTTGTATCGTCAAAACTGTGACTGACTTGTTGTAACACATCCAGGCATTCCGCGGCACCGTTGGATGCATCAAGCTGTTCCGCAGTATCCTGCACATCCTTCTCAGCTCGGTTTAAATCGTTTTCAATGCTCATGTAGCTAATTTCGCAGTGATGCAGGATAATTTCTTTCGCTCGTGCAGCAGTCGGCATTTTAGCTTCGCAATCGGTATCATAAATGGATTCAACTTCTCGACGTTGCGCCTCAGCTGCAGCTTCATCCTCGATATCCAAGTCTACGACAGCTACCCTGTCAATGCCGCCATCATCGGCGTCATCCTCTGCATCTTCGGTTGGGAATCTGAGGTTCTTTTTTTCGGCGAAAATAAGTTTCTTCTCTTCGTCCAGTATTTGTTTGAGGAAATTTTGAGAGAGGTTGTTGGAATTTGATGGGAAACTCAACCAGTTCGCCAAACTGAAACTCGAAGGGAAGCAGGAAGGAATTTCTATGTTGTATTCACGCAATTTCTCAAGCGACAAAATCCCCGCTCCAGCAGATATGCCTGAAAATTAAAGTCAAAGAGGGTCATGAGCATGTTTCCAAGCATGAACATTATCATCTCGGTGATCCTCCTCAACCAATGATGCAACCGTATACAGTAATTCAAAAGCTTCTCCTCTTCCGGCATTTCTGCTCGATGCATAATATTCCTAGTAGCGGGGTGTTATCAAAAAGAGAATTACAAGAGTTCATCGCAAACAAATTATTCAATTCAGAACAATCCTCACAAAAAGCAATATGTTACAAAATCAACACAATCATCGGTTCATGAGGTTAAACTGAAATGACGCATTAAGATCATTTTCCAGAAGAATAAACTGTACCGTATGGAAATTAATATTGTTAATTTATAAAATTCACAATCTGATGGTGGACCACGTCACCAGAACAACCCCTGCCGCAATTGCGCTGACCAGAAGCAAGCTCTGATGGCCACCATATATGCAGTCCCATTAACTTCAAGATTAATTATTCTCTTTAGGATTTATTTTGAAGAAGTAATCCTTTTAATAACAATTTTTCCCTGTCTCATCGAATAATATCCCATGCTTAATTAATAATGGGCAAATATAAATCTTTTTCATAACTATGCTTCAAGACGTTCAAATACTGAACTGAATTACTCAATTATTCTAAGGGAGAGCCGAAAAAACATCGATAATTACTCATAGCCCTATGAATGAACCTCAATCACGGTATAAATATTTCAGCAGTATGTAAGGAAGACCTATTTAACCCCTCAGCAGTAAATCAGCATTTATAATGTATAGAGATTACTTATTCTTCTCAGTCCAGAGCAGAGAGGGTACCTGCTTTCATACCTTTGTAAAGATTGGGAGTTAAGGAATGACGGTTTGATTATACCGAAGTCTGCCTTGAGGTTTATTTTGTATCGCTCTGGAATGTAGTACACTCGAAAGAATTCGCTCAAGCCAAGCTATGAAAATAACAGCTACACTAGTTTTATTTTATTAGATCCTATTTCTCAAGATTTTCCGTAGTCATTCTTTCAGCAGTACCGAACATATGTCATACTTTCAAGTCATAATTTTCAGCTATTTCACAATCATTCAGACAAGCAATTACAGATGCTCATGATTAATTTATTTGCTGACTATACTGCTGTATTCCGCTGACATGTCAAAAAGGCATCTACAGTTATCACAAGCTAATAAATGGATACCAGAATACAATAACTGATTACCTTTCTTCAACGTTTCAAGTTCACCCAAGGATCGCTCCAGAATAATCAAATGGTTCTTCATGTCGGATCGGACTTGGCATGCATTCCCTTTTGAGCGCAGTAAAGGCGCGTTTTGGACCGTGAATTCCTCAAGCAACACACTCTTGGAACGTCCACCAATTCGGAGGATTCTTCGCGTGAAGCGACTAATACCTTCCAAAAACTGATCCAGAGCGTGATTTGTGAAGCAAACAACTAAGATTGGTCCGTTGTTGAAAATCTTGTGCTTTCGTCGACGGGATAGGATCGTCTTGACCAGCTTCAAGCCAATAAAAGTTTTACCCGTTCCTGGAGGTCCTGTGAATATTCAAATAAAAAGTCAGAATACAGGAAACATGCAGGATAATACAGTATATCAGATGGAATATACAGTACAGTGTACCGTAGTTGATCGCTTCTTTGTATAAAACAATGAATTTGCTGCAATCAGATGGTCTTTCTGCGTAATAATAAGCATTCGCACAAGAAAATTTCATGCTTCACTTATTGTCAGAATGATTCAAATATTTTGAAATGCTTCAACACTATTCAGTGTAAATTTCCGACTTGGTGAAATTTATTTATGAATTGTTTCCCCTGATTCCCAGGTTACTCTCTTCACAAGTGTGAAATGCTTATAAAAACAGTGCAAGGAACCAGCAGTCACACATTTACAGTATACTTGCCATATTCGGATCAACATTTATTTTTTTCATGAGCAAAAAAAAACCAGCCCGCATTGATACCGGCAATTAGATTTTTGTTTTCGATTTCGTCGGAATTATACAGTATAAATTTCATAGACATGCCATCCAAAAACATGTTCGACGTGAGAAGAAAGTCTGATTTCATCCTTATACAGTCAATATGTAACAATCACCTTGAATAAGGGCAAACTCATGACAGAGGCCTTCTTTGAAGGCACAAAACTGAGCTTCATCCAGCCCAAGTTCTTCTGGTTTCGGCCAATCGTCAGTGCTGAAGGGATTTCCAAAAAATTGTCTGCCCTTAAATTTTAAAGGGAACACATTCGCCTCATCACCCTCATGATCCAAAATGTATTTCGGTAGAGATGTGTTTCTTTCCACATCCACGATGTACTTCTTCAACGGAAATTGATCCAATGGAATTTTTTGCAGCGATGACAAAACGTGTCTGTATGCTTCAAAAAATGCAGCACTTTCTACAACTAGAAATTCTGGACCTTTCGTCCATGCATTCAGATCAAATTTACTGCTTTCAGGACGTATCCTTATAATCCCACGCCTCAGATCTTCCACTTCTCGTTCCACAACAGACGCGAACAGCACACTTTTGAAATTGTCATTCGTTAGGCATAGCAGAGAGCCGAATATCAGCCTTTTGCTGATTTCCCATCGCACTTGGCCCAAATTTCGTAGAGAAAATTTGAGTTCAAGAGAGACCCCAACTCTTTCGTAAATCTTTCGAGTAATAACTCCTTTCTCGTAGATTCGGACTTCTTGAATCTTGCGCCAGACACCGAAATCATGAAGGCTGTTTTGCATTCTTCTCATCATCTCTGCAACTCCTTCTCTCAATGGTCTGACGAAGTCTTCTTTTATGAGGCGGAATTGAACGTCCAAATAATGGTCAGCATCCAAATACCGACCGCTAATGATATTTGCACGCAGAAAGGGCTCCTCGATGCACAACAGATCATTCAAAGTCGGAAGAACCGATAATGTGCGAAAATCATCAGGAGCATTGTCCAAATGGCTTTCCCCGAAAAAGCCCTTCTTTCTAATGACTGAATGGTCCGGATTTTCCACCGATTTGCGGAGGTCCGCCAGATTTTCACGGACTCGGTTCATCATAAGTCGTAGTTCCATGTCCGGTCCCAAAATTTTCTCGAGGTCGAAAACCGGCATCTTCATTGCATTGAACCCGGCTTCAACGCTCATGGCTTCGTCCGCAGGACAAAGTCTGACGAGCAAGTCGAAGAATACAATTTCGCTTCGTACCATGTCCTGGGCATCTTTGGGATCCAAATGACACATCCTCGGTAATGTTGACAAATTGAATTGTAACAAGGATTCCAGCAACTTTGAATGCAATATCAACGAAATGGCTTTTCCTACTGTGGCCCCAAATTCGTGCAATTCAATTGCCTTTTGAAGCACTTTCAAAATGTACAGCATTCTTTCAGGATTATCTTTCAAGTGTTCATCTTCTAAAGCCAAGGAAAATCCGGACTTTTCATTGATCACCGTAAAAACTAAGACTGGATCTTCACTCTCGGCGAGCTCTCGCAAAGCTCTGAGCCCCATGGAATTATTTCGTTCGCGTGTCTTCACATGAGAATCTCCACCGGAATCTTCTTTCGTGGACTGTCGATTAGACACCCATGATCCACGACTCGGATTATCTTGATTTCTGGGATTTCCTCGATAACCATTCCTCCCTCTATGCCCTCGAAGAACGTTACCAGCATATGTTCCTCGTCTGCCAGCGATACGTGCAGCGTTTGAAGAACACGGTGGTCGTCGTCCACGTTCGGTAACGGATACACCATTATAGGGAAGATTATTAGTTCCAGCAGGAAATCTTCTTCGACCTGCAAACACGCAGAATTTCAATGCGCACGTTTTTCAGTTCAATACTGGGTCAGTGTCACGTTACCTGATTTGGTTTTGCTATACATGAACATGTACGGTATGATGTAGTTCGATGCAACCGCTATAGATCTCCTCAGAAAACTACTCCAGATAACTGACACAGTTAAGCTTAATTGGGAGTTACATCATTTGCTGTGAGACAGCAAATATTACTGAGAACGGCGAAAATAAGAATTTATTTCTTGAATTGGGGAATTTTAGAGGAAATACAGCGCTGGCAGACAGTTTTTCTAATACTTATCTCAATAAAAATGAGGTGTACTGTATTTCCATATACATAATTAATAACATGTGTCTAAGATCATTGAGACATCAGATCACACTAAGTAATGTAATGTACATACTAACGTAATATACGTTTCACATCAGAGTTCGAACTCGTCCTACCGGATCCTTCCAACAACGCTTCACTTACCTGAGTTACCTCGAACACCCAGGAATCCGAACGGCGCTCGGAATGGGCTTCCCATGCCCTGCCTTGGCTGAGATCCTCTATACCGGAGATCACTGTGCTCTACAGGTTCGTCTTTCACACTACAAATATCCACCCAATTGCGAGACTTAGAATCGATGGTACTACGTGAGATTCTCTCAACTTCCGCTTATTCTAGAACACGAACATCTGCTCTGCAAAAGATCCAGCAATCAAAATGATGATAAGAGTTCCGATCCCGAACCACCAACGCTGGCAATTTCCCGCACAGCATCTATCCGAGGAATACACTTCCCAAAAACTGGATACACACAAGATAGGGCACTTGCACACATTGAATTGAACCGCCAGGGACTCCACAGATTTCCGCGAGTGGTTGAATCATCCATCCCAATCATTGATGACGTCGGCACATGCACGGTAAGAAGTCTCGAAATATAGGTATACTTTAGGTGGGTGAACTGAACTGTCATACGCGCTGGTCGGTCAAACCTCTCTTGAATCTCCAGGTATAAGCGACATCTATTTTTTGTTTTATTTAAAGAATGTGGGCTTTATGCATGAAGAGTTTGATGTCGCTACGCAAACCTTGAAAACTCGACCCAAAAGAACAGAATTTGCGCATAAATCAACATATGAATAAAACCCTACAATGAATCCGCCAGAATACGTACGATGTGATAGATTTGCGTAAGAATACCCAGAATTCTTTATTAGCAGAGAATAAAGCATTAAAAAGACACAAAAGATAAATCAATAGTACAGTAGTGTTCTGTATATGCATTTGATTATATACAGCAGGTCTGTTCCATCCATTTCACGAAATTTTAGACGGCATGAGATTTATAGCGAAGCGCAATTTCGACTTGGAATGCTGAGCCAATGCTTTTCTGAAGTAAAATAAATCTTACATTGCATTTTGCTACCGTGCTTTAAAAAGTACGTGCATTTACAAACCAAGATTCGATATAGCACAAACATTATAGAATGTGCTTCCAAATTTGACACAAAATCGCCTTACCGCAAGTCGAGTCCAAGCAGAAGGGATTTTGCACGATCACGTACAATTTTCGCTTACATATACTGTATTTACACTACTTATTCATTGTATGCTGCTTTTCTTCATGATTTCAACCGTTCGTCTATTTACAGATAAATTTCAACCGTTGCAGTCAGTCATTGACGAAATGAAGTATAATATTACAAATGTGTTACTTTTTGCCCTGAGGCGAAGACCTCGAACTCTCGAAGGATAATAGAGATGCTCCCAGTATGGGTATTTTTAGTATAAGTCATTTCACAATAATGCTTCAAGATTTCGTCTGAAGGAAAGCAGCTTTTCAACTTTTCGGAGAGGGGGTGGGCAACTTTCAAATAGTGATGAAAATGATTACATATACACTTGATAAACTGATTACTGTACCAAACAAATAAATAAAAACACTGAACACCGAGGCACCGACATTTTATGACAGGTGAAATAATGTGCGTCATACACGCCACTATGTGGTATACTGTATATAGGTTTCACTTTTTCCTCGACTTCCAAACAAAGCACATTCAACACCCCCTTTCGAATAAATCGCTTACATCATATTTCGCTTTTATGCGTGAAAATTTCAATTTGTGCTTCGACTCATACATGCATCACAAGCTGCTTAAACGCTTAGCTTTTCATCTTATAAAAAAAAGCTTTTGTCATCCCAGTACATCTTTCCCAACCATGTAAGAGTACCAGCATGCACACTGATGCTTGAAGAGAGCCTCTTGTTAAAAAAACAAAACAAGGCATCATGCTACCATTCACTGAGAGATGTTGGTATTCGATCCAAGCTTTTTTTTAAATTGTAGATCTCATATATTTATACTGTATAAGCACATTCAAAGGTTTTATTTATGAATCTGGAATCAATTATTCCCGGTCCTACGACAAAAACCTCTCATCTCATCTGGTGAATAAGAGATTAACCCATGGCATTCGGAACGTGCATGAGTAATACTGCACACCAGCATGACCCAGTTTGTTATTGCATATATATACAGTACAGTTCGATCACGTTCTACCTCAATCACATTCTCATTTATTCCGTGTAATCAGAAAATTGGTTTATTCATGAGAATAATAAGATAAAATACAAAAATAGAGGAGCATGTAAAATATAACGGTCTCTCTCTTTTCCAAGAAATGCTGGGGTTCATTTGCTGGTGTCAATCAAACTCATTTCTTCTCCATCTAAAAAAATAGTTTTTTCTTATACTCATAATATGGAGAAATAACCTGTTATCCTCTGAAAATGTTCTATATATTGCCTGATTCCTCCCCAATTTTATCCAAGCATTCCAGTGAAATAGTCTTGTGAACATTTAAAAGAAGTACTGTGAAGTACAAATCTACCATTGTATTGGTTACACCAAAGTAGAATCTTGTAACAACAAATATCATTATAACAAATTTTGCTTAAAACGATTTTTTTGTACAGCAAATTGATTTCCAAGTCCCAGCAGTTATACTTGAGGCACAGCTTAAATTAATCTCATTTTAATGAATTCCTTTTCTACAGACTATCCAGTTAAAACAAATTTTCGTCACCAATTCTTAAAATTTCTAATTCAGTTTCCAGGCTTCTTGTCCTGAATTTTGGGTCACCAATTTTTGTATGATAATTTCCCGAGGCTCAACATTCCTAAATAGTGGACAGGAAATGTGTTTGCAGCGGAATTAAACATTTGAAAATACAGGAAGCTAAAATGGGTGACATTATCTGACTGGCAGGAAACCCATTAAATATACTGTATCTTAATTAATCTAATATCCAACCTCTCAGGAGTCTGGAAGCACAGTGCCAAGCTAGCCACCAAAATCTGTGGAAAGCTGTTCTTTTTCCAATGCTCTTCTGTGTTGAGTTCTCTTTACAATTTACAAATTTAACCATTTCATAAAATAGAAGTATATTTACAGATATTGCAGAGAGAAAAAATGACTTAAGGCTTAAGGCAATCCAATGCCTTCACAGATCAAAGTGTATTCCTGTACATGAATCCATCAATCTTGATGTAAACAACTTTTCACAACAACAAATTTTTTTCCCAGTCCCCGGGATTTCATTGTAATGAGATTCTACTGTATGATTGCAGGGACCAGAAGAAGTTTTCAACTTTTTTTAGCAAAATATTTCTAGTAAACAAGAAAGTCATCCAATGTTGTGGCACCTATAAAGGGATAAATTAAAAACAAATACCCTATACTGTATTTTAAGCAAGAATTGACTCCAGGTACATCAAGATTTGAGAGAACAAGATTATTCTTCTGGATATAATTTATTAATACTGTACTATAAGGGGATACAGCAAATGACTTCTAAAAAATAAAATCTCGTTATAATGCAATTTTCAGTAACCCAAAATTTTGCGGAGTCCCTAATCCTGGACAAGTCTTCTATGTAATTTGTTTCAAGTTTCCAAAGCGGCATTCATGAGATTCATTACTCAAATGAATATTAATTTTGATCCATTTGTACGTTGTTCACTTTCTTCATCATACAATTGCACACAAATTAACTCGCTAATGAAGATGGATGTTAAGTGATGGGATTTAAAAATAAAAACCAGTCCGTCGCATATGATCCGGGTCTTCAAATAAGTATTTTCTTTGAATTTCTTACTTCTTACGGAGTGTTCATTCATTGCAGGAAGGAATTCCTTCATTCAGAAACTAAGAATTTATCCTTCTTGTAAGATATATAACGCCTCACGTCGAATGTCCTCCGCTTGGACCCTGTGCTGAACCTTGGAAAATCCCAGATCACGCAGCATGAAAACGTCGAACCTCCCTATTGAAAGATAATGAAACATGAACTATTTTAAATGCTGGAGAAAGAAAAATTTGATTTCACAATTGATTAGAAGAATATAAGTATATAACGAATGAATACTCGCATCTTCCGCAAAAAAAGCATGCGTGTCTAATCCTAAAGCAGCCCGAATGATCCCTCATCAGCAGTACCGAACCAGCGAAAAATTCAGACGCAAGACATATCAACACAAGAACTCCAAAAAGAAAAAAAAAAACCGAAAGAAAAAGAACGCATCATTTCAGGTTCACCCAGATGTTCCTTAGTGTTGCGAAGATACCGTACTTACATTGAAATTGTAGTACACGAGGGTATTCTCAAAATAATGAGGATAAATCCATTAAGAAGTCCCAAGATATCAAACGATCATCGTCGAAGTGTGTACCTTAATATCTTATCCTTAATTTAATCAGCCATTAAATGTTCTATTCCCCGGATTTCAATAAAAAAAAAATGAAAAGGAAAAAATTCAGATCAAAATGGACCGTCATGGGAGGCAGATGGGGTTCAACATTTTCTTCAATAGTCAAACAGGCTCAAGACGTTATCAGTGCTTCCGAACACCGAATTCCAACATTTTTTCATTTTTGTGAAGTAAAAAAAACATCTTGCCGTGAATGGACAGCTATACACCGAAGAAATAAATTTAAATACAATAATTAAAAAATTATGCACGAGTATCAACAAAATTTCTTCGAAAATGTGGCAGATGTTATAGAAACACGAAGTTTAATACGAACGAACGCCTCATCGTCGTTAAACTAAAATAATTTTTTCCTGAACAACGGTTCGATTTCTCCAATTCAGTATAATTTTGGACACTGGATTTGAAGAATTCGGAAGTACATGAAAAATCGGGGACAATTAATGGTAACGAACCTGAAATCTTAACACTAATGCTGGATAATGATTTCAAACATGAAAACAAACTCACATACAGTACAAGATTTCGGAGCAGTTTTTCATCATTATGAAAATACCCTCGCTTACACAAAATAAAAGGATAAAATGAATCGAAACTGAAGATTTTCCCGGGTTAACCGAAATCATGACCTCGTATATCGAGCTTACTGGTCTGAAATCTTGCGCGAATTCATCATCAATTGCACAAAAATTCCCATACAAAAAAACTTACACTCGAAGCATAAAAATAAAATAACACAGAAGTAGAAGATCGACATTGTTCGTCACGAAGGACGTCAATCGATGCCCAGAATAATGACGATTCACGATTCTCAACGATTTATCACTTTTCTTTTCTTTTCAAATATATCGCACGCGGGTTGAAATTCACGATAATAAAGGCAACCAGTTCCATAAAAAAAAAAGCTTCTTCGAAAAAATCAAGTCACTTCGTCTCGTCGATGCTCAAAATTATCACGCGTTTCGTTACTCGATTCGGAAGCTAAAAAAACTTTCTCTGGTGGGATCGTCGACTCAAGGCGACCCAAAGAATTCGCGCACCAAAAAAATGTCCGACAGTGACCAGGAATAAAACCACCACATCACGACTTTTCACAACTTCGCACCGAAGAAAGGCATTCCGCAGATTCACCCTTATGCATTTACACACTGCCCACAATCTTCAGTCGCCTACACGATAAAAAAAAGAAGTCGAGAAGATAAGATCGCCGAAGTCATTCTTTACACGATACTTCCATCATCACACGTGGTCCAAGAAAATGCATACTGTTGACCTCCGCTTCACTCGAATGCGTCATAATAACGTTCTTGCATTTACCGCACATCATCAAAATTGAAATTCGCCATGTTGTTGTAGGCATCGGACCAAGCAGGATGCAACGAGCCATCCATCTCGGTCGCAACGCGATTCGATCTAAGCAACGCATGACTACCACCACCAATCGATTCGCCGCAGTCCGGACAACGGGATTGTTCCATTGCTCCTCCGCACTCTAGAATTGGTAGATTGAAAAATAAAATAAATACAGTAGTTATGAGTACTGTATTCACACTGCAAATGTGGTTTAAAATGTTCAACAGAACAGCGGTTCACGTGCTACTAGTGTTGCACATGCTCGTACATAGGAACGCAAAAAAACGCAGCTTAGTGTGAAATAAGTGAGAAACTCTGTCAATAACTGGAAAGTTTTCACTTTTCATTATGCAGTATCTTATTAAATGTTTTTAAAAGCTGGGAGAAATAGGAGAAATGCTCAAAACATCACGGGAGAAATTTAAAAAAAGTTATTTCCTTGTTTTACAGTCAGAAACATCCAATCACGCGCGGCACTGGGACAATTCTCCCATTCAGTATTTTTGACTAGGAGGCTCACTTTTTCTACTCGACCCAGAAAACTAATTGTGAATTTAGCTAATTGTGAAAATAAAATTCCAAGCGGGATAACTTAAAAAAAAAACATTCCAAGTGTGGGAAATCCCCGGAACATCATGTTTTCGTTAATTTTGGCGGGACAAAAATTTTATGCGGTTTTACTTCTGGCCTTTTTGAACCAAGGAAAAAACGTAGGTAAAATTCCGAAAGACAGGATTTAAAACCACTGAAAAAAAATACGCCTGTATATGGACCACGTAGAACTATAATGTGTTTTACAAATGATGTACAGTACTTCAAACATTTGAAAATTACAGTTAATTTTTATTCAATTACACGTCAGATTAAATTAATTTCACAATTCATCTGGCTTCATCGACATGACCATTAAGGTATATTTAAAAAAAATTATTACACAACGATAAATAATCACATACTTTTGATTTTGATTCCCTGACTCTGAATTCATCATCGGCACGAACTCGACTAAAACTATAGTAACTGTATCAAGAAGAAAATTAATTATTTTATGAAAAAGAAGGGGAGAATTGGCCGTTTATGTAGATCGATAACCAACTCGAATCCATAGAACAATTTGATGTACATTCAGATGCCAGTGCTCACCAGTAATGCAATAGACGTGTCCGTTAGGACATTTATACCAGTGCCCCTTCTTCAAACCCATCGCTTGCAAAATCATGCGCTTTTCTTCCGGCGTTACTACCAGAGTAGAGCAATATTTCTTGGCTTCTTCGAGCAATGCTTTTACTTCAGTTTCCTTCGCAGCAGTGAAACAGCCGATGTCTGCCAAAATAGCCTCAACTTTTGCGATCAAATTCTTTCCCTGAGGTGCGACGACTTTTGCCTAAACGGAGAATATCAGTCAGTCAAAGAACTCGTCAAGAAAACGATCTGAACTGAAATTATATTCAGCTCGTTTAGAACTTCGATGTAAACACTCACTCGCATCATTTCCAACAATGGTACGTAACGTAGACGCTGGATTTCCGACGAAAAAGATTGCAACACCGATCCGTCCAAGTTGTTTTTTCTCGACATAACCAATTGGGCCAGCTTAGAATACACAAATGATCCCATGAAACTCCACGAAAACAAAATGCGTAAAAATTATTTCAATCAATGACGGAAATAAAAAATACAGGTACTTCGGCGAGTCATGTCATTCAGGTTTAAAGAAACTAATAAAACTTTGAAAATAGATAAATTCTCTTCAAAACAAGAACCGCACGAATATTCTCATAGCCTCAATGAGAATTTGTTCACTAGTCTTTTCAACAGAAACGAGTTTTCTTTTCCTTATAAAATGGCACAGTAAATTGAGATTTGTGAATAATCATCAAAGGCTACTGTAGATTCATAGAACACAATTTTCAGAAAAATAGCCCGTAAAGCCTTACTTTACGAAATCACAGTATATTTCGGATTTGATAAAAAGTTCTATAAAAACCGGAATCCATTCTAAAAGAAACCTTCTTCGGCAGTACAGGTACAAACATTTTCGCGTTTCGACCTTATATTTTAAATGAGTGCCGAGAAAAGGGCTTGAATTTCCTCTAGTTATGCTTACGGTATCACTTTTTAATTACGCAATCGAATCAAATTGATTTCAATTTTGGGAATACAGGTACAGTATTGTCATCTTTTTTTTTTTCAGAGGAAGCAGATTCTTAAAAAGTTAATTTCTTCATAAAATGGCAGCTCAACCGCGAAAACCAGCAACACCCTTCGTACATGGGGACCTCATTTTATGTGAAAGGAGAAACCGGGTTCAGCGGCATTTCGATAACGTTCCCATCTCATTCAACATACCTTGCGTAGCTTTGCTTCAAGCTGGCTTCGGACATTTAAAGTAAGACTCTCCTCTCGATTGTATTTCGAAATCATTGCGGCCAGTGCTTCAAGAAGATCCAGACGATTGGTAATACTATTGCATTCCATCCCGTTCAATTTGTTGAGGGTTCGGTTGGATGCTTTCTTCTCCTTAGGATGGTTCAACCGCCGGTATCCGATCTCGTTGAAAATTTGATCAATGAATTGCTCTTGCAAGAAAACTGTCTTGATCATCCCGCATGCTGAGGACTCGCTTGGATCTAAATGAAAATATTCAAGTTTTATTCTCATCACCATGACTCAGGATTAGGTTGCTCTGGTTGACATTTCCTTCATATGCTGAGTCCATGTGATCAAAAAGGCGTCAAGTAATAGGGGGCACATTTTTTCTCGTTAGACGAAAAGATAACGAAACTCGATTTGGCAAAAATATTTGCCCGGAAAATTCTCCTCTAAAGTCTAAGATACTAAACAATTTCTCAGGCGGGAACATTTTCTTAGTTGGACCAAATAACTGTACTAGCAATCATTGCGATCGTTTTCGTCATGTTTCTTGTCCATCTCTCATTTCCTGAATACTTGGCCAGTAATTAAGTTAACGTACCGTATAGCTAGAATATACGTAAGAATGGGTAGCCAGACTACAGCGAAGGTTTGTCATCGGTTCGCAGAAATTTTGAGAAATTTATTTGTCATTCATCTTTTTTTTTAATGAGAAGCACAGCAGAAGAAAATAGTGGGAAATTACGGAAAACTTTCGAAGTTGTTATTTCGGAAAGAATTAGATAGTTTAACGCAAGAGATTACGGTATCTCGAACCATGACGCTTACAAAGTACTGCTCACATATTTCATAAATCGTTCGAAAGAGATTCTCTTCAACTATGGTTCTTACAACGAGCTGCTCACGATCAACAGAACTTTTGAGAAAATCCTCATCGTTGGTAAACTCAATATTAATTCTACGGGAATCACACAAGAACAAGGGGTGGGGAATTCTGCGAAATTTTAAAAACTACTGCACAGAACTGAATTAGCGAATTCCATTGAAGAGATGATCGTTCAACGATGATATTAACGAAGGACCGCTCACGCCCTTCAGCACTAGTTCAATAACAGGTCTAACCAGACATAACACATGGAATCACACTGACAGAAGTTAATTAAAAAAAAAGCAGTACCCAGCATTTTCTCGAGGATTCTTTGAAGATCGTGGTTCTCTCCGAAAATTCGCTTTTTCACATCATTGACTGCTCTCAAGGAGGCCCTGACCTCCTCACGGTAACGATGAGAAGAAACAATCGGAGTTTTGCAACGCGGACACAACCTCAGTCCTATAGCTTCCATTGGCATTTGCATCCACTGATCCATTCCATCAACCTCAATAATGTGTTTGCATTTCAAAACGACGAATCTTGAAAAGAGAAATATCGTCAGGAAACGGAAGTCAGCGGAAGACAACACAAGATGGCAATTTCGCATTTATCGACTACAGGATCAATTTTTTTCCAGTCAAATGCAGAACTAGCAAAAAATGAGCTCCAGAAGCGTACTGTATCCCTGGAATTTTAATGTACATCAGGAGTTCTCGTGAATTATATTACAATACTTGTAAGAAAAGCTAGAGTTCACGTAAAAATTGTTTAATGCACCATCTCTAGTCAGGTACCACCTGTGCAGGGCCTATGCTTTTTTCAGACTTGAATCTACCTCAAATTGTGGCCTTAATTCGAAGAATGCTTCACACAAAAGTTTTACCCTCTTCTAGAAAGAAGTTCATCAATGGATGCTTAATTTTTTCATGATATCCTCAAACACAGTACAGAATTTCCTCAGTCGGTTTCGATTCATATTATGAACATGGGAATAATGTATAAGTTTTTAACACTTAGTGCCCTGGTACGTTTTCTCTTGAACAATTCCAAAAAACCACGTGGTAAGTGTCACATGTACCAACAAATTGAAAACCCTTACTGCACGAAGTATTGAACATAAATCACTTCAAGAATCACAGGAATCGAAGTAGGGTAGTGAGGAAAAGGTTGCACGCGAAATGTTACGCTTTACTTTCAAAGCTTGAGGATTTCATCAAACATTCCATTAAGTTTTCAAAATTACCTGGCGTCCGGTTCGTCGCAAATATCGTTCATAATCACGTCGAAAAACTCCACTGTATTTTTACTGCATTCCCGACACGGTGGGCAAATTTCTCCGCAGAGCCCAACGCATTTATGCTTGCACCCGAGAACTTTTTCACACGGCTCATTGCATTTGTCACTGCCTCTGCCGCAATCGTCGGAACACCTCAATTTGCACGGCTTATGACGACATCCGCTCTTGCATTTTTCCTGCGAAGACAAAGAGTTGAACGTTTACGCGAAAGCCTCATTTTTAATCCGCAAACTCGAAGTAAGAAATTTACTCACCAAACAAGAAGCGCAAGGTTCCCCGCACAGCTTCTTGCAGACAGAGTGCGGACAAAAATTTTCACATTGCTCTCTGCAAGGTGGACAGTTGGCACTGCAAGCGACTTTGCAAACGTGTCCACAAACAAGTTGTCGCCCACAGGGCTCTCGGCAAGGCACATGAATTCTGCCCTGAAGACATTCCGAGCATTTTCCCACACATTTGTGTTCGCACGACAGCGTAGCTCCGCAAGGATGATCGCAAAACTCCATTTCCTCTTCAGAAGACAAGATTTTACGACTGGTTACGATGTGGCAAGGCAGTCTGACTAGATGCCCGCACCTACAAAAGACCAAGTTTTTATAAAAATATTCCTTTCGATTGACATTGCAGACAATTACTGACTTTCCGACTTTGCCCATGTTCAACATGACAGAGCAACTCGTGGTGCAACGGTCTGAACACTTTTTTTGACATTTGTGACCACATGGCAAGAGCCTTTCGCAGTCCTTCTTGCAATCAGCATTCTCGGGAGCTTTTGAGCATAGCACCCTAACTGAGTGTGAGCAGCCAGGATTTATCTTTTCAACCATCTCACGACAATCCCCGCAGGTTTCCTTGCATTTCTTCCGGCATGGATGACCACAAGGCAGCTGTTTCTTACACTGGCATAACCAGTTGCAAATAGAAAAATAAATGTTTAATTACAACTGATATTAAATTTTGGCTAAACCGTGTAGGAATTCGAGCGCTAAAATCGTTTGGATACAGTAAACAAATTACTGTACAGTAGCTTGAAAAATGTTCAGTGAAAAGATAACGTAACAAACCTCTTTTTTGCATTCGACCTGATCTGGCTTCACGTTACACAATGCTTTTATGGAGTGTCCACATAGTAGTGTCAAATTAACCAGCTCCTGGCACGGTGGGCAAGGATCTTGCCAGCACAGACCTGCGAAGATGCGGAACAATAGTCAAGTACTGTATTTGACGCAGTGATCATGAATCACACGATGCCATCAATCTTTCATAATACTGCACAGTATTACATCAAATATTATTTTGCTTCAATAGACACCCTTCTCTGACTCATACAGAGGATCTATACTTTAAATCGAAGAAAATAAATATATTCTTGGACCTCAATGCAAGCAAAAAATTTTGTCAAGGATGTTTCATTTCAAACTGAACAAGGTACCCACATCGGGATGAGAAGGAAAAATTATCGAGAGATTTGTGACATAATTGAATGAAAGTTCAATTTTCTTCCGATTTCTAAATTGTCGCTTCAACCGCTCACAATAAACCATTCAGAAGTTGTCTCAAATTTCCAGGCCCATCAAGCAAGTTTGCTTTGCGTTTTTCAAAGCTACCACGATCAAATTGCTTTTATAGGCGTCACAAGATAACAATAGACAAGATTTCACAATAATCGTAAACATCGATTCATCGACACGCACCTTTGCAAGGATGCTCTCTTGGGCACGACTTTCCGCATTCTTTCGTACACCTCGTGTACAAATGATCCGGATCCTCTTTGACGTGACACGATTTCTCACACGCATGTCCACAATCCAGCCTGACGATGCACTTCACGAGACATTTTACCTGAAACATTCACAGAATTGAGGAAACGATTGTACAAAATCATTTGTTAGAGCAAACAAAATTCATCCATTCTGAGCACAAGAAAAAAAAAACCTGTTTGAAATTAATACGTATGGTCGTACCTGAGCTACATTTTCGCAACACTTCATTTCTCGCAAGTGCTTGCACGGAACCAGCATCCTTTCAACTTTCTCGTTACAAGGTGGACAGGGTTTTCCACAAATGGATTTACAAGCATGTCTCTCAAGAGCGTCACATTTTCTTTCACACGGCCTTCGGCAGCGAGTTTCTCCGGTTTTATGCTCCTTGTCTATCACGTGACAAAGTCGTTCACACAAATGACCACATGCGTTGATTATTCCGTTACAAATCTGAAAAACGTCAGAACGTCGAAATTTTTTTTATGTTGACGCGAAGAATAAGGATTTCATTTTCTGAAGCTGATTTTCAACTCACTCTGGTGCAGCCACCACTGATGGGGAAATCACTCGGTTTGAAGACAGAAGCGACTTGATCCGGGTGAATTTGACAACGCAGAATCAAAGCTCTTCCGATCTGTTTATCCTTCTCTAGGACATTTTTTATCTTCATCCATAAGCCGCTGCCGGCACTCAAGATGTCCATATTCCCGACAATGAACAGTCCTTGCTTCGCACGCGACAAAGCGACATTTACTCGGTTGTCAGTCCTTAGAAATCCGATATTTCCATCCAAATTGCTCCTCACGAGGGACAACAGTATGATATCGTTCTCTTCACCTTGATAGTTATCTACCAAGGTGATCCGAACCTCTCTGCACATGGGGAATCTGTCTATCGCCTAAAAATGGAATATAAAAAGTATAATAATCAAATAGAAAAAAATCGCAAAATTTCTTTTGAAAATACTGTAGTCTGCGGCGCACAAAATATCAACACAGGAAAATAATTACCTTTTTGAAGACGAAAAGTTGTCCCGAATATCCGGTCAAAATAGTGATTTGACTCGGTTTGTATCCTTGAAGTAAAAGATACCTACAGAGTCCCAGCAAAAATTCGACCTCTACCTCGTTGCTCTTGCTTTTCAAATCTTCATTCTGTGTAGGTGAATAAAACATTTCAATTAGATGACATTGAAAGACGTATTCAGATTTGTTCTTTTAGAAAAATACAGATTGTCTTCTTTGAATTCCTACAGGAACTCACCGAACTCTCCGGGACGTTGTGCGTGACAAAAAACACGTTTTTATCCACACCAAGAATATCATCGTACAATTCGACAGTCCGGTAATCTTGCAGATCTTCATACACGTTCACTTTGATCAAATTTGAAATTTCTGGTCGCATTCTGTGCTGTTGACGCAGGCGTTCATATGGAATGTTGTTTTTCACCATTCGTTCAAACATAGAAACATCTAACCCATAGTCTTTCGCGAGCTTGTACACTGTGGTCGTAGGCCTCAGTTGCTGTTGATCACCTGAAATATATTCATGGAATGAAGCACAGTTTTTCTCGGCTCATTCATAAGAAACTAACGCAAGATTTTTCTTACCGATTTGTATCAATTGCTCGCAATGGGTAGATAAGCAGCACACAATGTGCGATTCCAAAACTTCCGCAGCTTCTTCTACCACAACTGCGAAGAAAATTACAACAATGACTCAAATATAAATGATTACTTCAGAAAACCATGACAAGAAACAACGCATGAGCATCGATACAATCAAAACGAGCTAAAATTGATACGGATAATTTCGACGAGAAAGAATAAATTTTGCTTGTCTCAGCTGAAACTTACTTAAATTTGTATTAAATTTCATCTTACGAAGTTTGTTGCACGATTTTGATTTGAACGTTGTTGGGTAGCGCTCCTCAAGCATTAGGTTAGGTAAGGTTACTTCAATGTTCAGTTTTCTTTCAGGCGATTACTAAGATGTTGAATTAGGTGAGGCGCTAGTTGAGGTTATTCAAGTTGAATGGCGGGAATACACACGAAGTGGTAAGAAAACTCACGAATTTTAGCTCTCATGTTCTGCACGAGAGACATGTTCCGTGCGGCACCAGTTGTCGTCATCCCAACAACATCCAACGACCGAGTATGTTGCAATAATGCCCCATCTTGAGCTTCTTTGTATCTTTCGACAAGAAGCTTATACTTTTCCATTTCGGCATCGATTTTGTTGCATATGATGCGGACCAATTGGTTGGCCCAATAACGATAGATCAACCATTTGCCTTTCACACGGGATGACATCCAATTTTCTTCGGGTCCAACCAATCGCTCAGGAGGCTTCACGAGATCCAAGCTTGAAGGCACTTTCAAGAACGCGGAATCAGCTTCAAGTTTGTTTTTCTTCATTTTGGAAGTTTCCAATTTATATTCCGCTTGCATCAACTGCGAAAAAAGTTGATCACGAACTTTCTCAACAGCTCGAGCGGATATTCTGATGACTTCACATTATCAACATGAAAAACAAGAATTGAAAGAGTACAATGCAACAACGGAAATTTTAAATATATAGCCGCCATTTACAGTGTTTTAGTAAAAAAAATTAAAATATTTTCCTATTCGGAGTTATTTGCAAAAAAAAGTAAAAAACGGGTGAACGAAAATTCAAAATAGATCAGACATTATCTATATTTTTTGCACCGCATCTTCCCATATGATGAACTTTTCCGACCGACAAATCTCACCATCAAGTGGGAACCCTGATGACGTACATTTTTAAAGCAGGCTTGTTAGTATTTTTGTTTCGGATAATGAACTATACTGTAGTTTCGTTGATGAGTTTTACGAAAATCGAATTTCGTGTAAAAAAAAAAAAAAAAAAAGACTGACTGCCAACATCCATTCTTCAGCACTGTTCAAAAGAATAAAACAACTTTCCTCATCCTTATACTTGAATGCGTCAAGCATCGTTTCTCTAGTTCTCGTAGAAAAACGATTTATTCAACAAGCTCTGCAGGAAATTCGAAGGCCATGTAACCACAAAGCCATGTCATACGGTTACACGAAGCACTTTTTTTCTAATATTGAATTTCCTGCTCGAACATACCAAGATCATCATCCTACGTATTCCTATAATCAACACATAGTATTTAAGGTCGGGGATTGACTGAATAGGCCGAACTTCAGCATTTCTCACCACAAATCTCTACAGAGCATTTAAGCGAACATTTTGAACCTACCTCGCGTAGCAAGGTTCCATGGTCTCGCTGTTTAACGTAGACTTCTATATCCGGATCCCCAACAAGGTCTTGCATCATTTCCGAAATTTTATTGACTTCCGCCTCAGCTTTCATCACAGCTTCTTCAAGACTCAGGCTGCTAATTTCGCAGTGACGACGAATACATTCGCTGGTTTGCTTAGTCGTCGGTACCGCAGCAGCACGATCAGTATCGTAAATGGACTCCATTTCTCGGCGTTGGGCCTCAGCTGCAGCTTCGTCCTCAATGTCCAAGTCCACAGCGTCAATCTCATTGTTTTCAGTCCCAATTTCTTCATCGTCTTGATTTTCGTCCGGGAGTTTCACCATTCTCTTCTCGGCAAACAAAAGTCCCTTCTCCTCGTCCAAAATTTGTTTCAGGAAATTTTCAGAAGAATTGGCAGAGTTATTGAAGCCCAGCCAGGTAGCCAGGCTGAAATCCGGACCGAAACTTTCGGGGATTTCTATTCCATATTGACGCAATGCATTCACGGATAAGATTCCAGCTCCGGAAGATATACCTAAAATGATGAACAGAAATATAATCTGTACACAGAATCCCTCTGAGCTCATATAAAATGTCGTTTGGTGGAAGAAACAAATGTTCTGACACGCATTACGTGGAGTAAGCCTCTTAATTGGACGACAAAAGCAAGATTCACATACAGAACAATGATTAGAATTTGTGTTGAATGTTTCTGAGGTCAGCAGTAACATAATCCAAGTGTTTGAGAGGAAATGAATAAGCAGCTTTTCTTTCTCGGAGTAGAAAATTCTTTTTAATTCAGGGCTCACCCTCGGAATCAATCTAATACTTCAGGGTGGTCTTCGGAAGTATAGCGATAGGGTTCAATTGATTAATAGGCCTTATTTCAGGGAAACACTGCTGTAAAGGAAATTCAATAAGCTGAAAAAATCTTCTCTACCTTTCCTCAAAATCTCCAGTTCACCCAAGGCGCGTTCCAGAGTCAACAATTCCATTCTGATGTCCCGACTGACTTGAAATGCATTCCCGCGATATTTCATTTGTGCGTTTCTCACGGTGAATTCCTCTAGCAACGTACTCTTCGAACGCCCGCCTATCCGGAGAATTTTCTTCGTAAATTTGCTAATGCCCTCCAAGAATTGATCGAGGGCGTGGTTCGTGAAGCAGACCACCAATATTGGACCGTCATTGACAATCTTGAATTCATGACGACGGGTAAGAATCGTCTGCACCAGCTTCAGTCCAATGAAAGTTTTACCAGTTCCAGGAGGACCTGAATGATATTGGCAGAAACCAGATGATTAAAATTAGTTACGAACGTTGCGCGACGTAGTTCAAGTGAAATATTTTAGAAAATATTCAAACGCACGGAAAAATTTGCCTTTTCTCATTCTGAGAGACCACTTCACGTTATTTCCGACAACTACAAAAGCTTATCAGTGATACACGGTATACGCTGAACGTGAATTTTTCCTATGAATGCAAATGCAAAAATTCGCACGTTAACCGAAAATTTGAGATAATTCAAAAAAATCAAGAGCAAGTTTGCGTGGGAACCTGAAGAATTTCCTGAAGCACTTCGAACTAATTTAATTTATGAATAAACAGATTTTAAAAGGGGATTGAAGATAGAGGAGAAAATGACAAGCTGCTCTGAAACGGGAATATTTTGAAATTTGTTTCATCCAACTGCAATCATTCAAAGGATATGTATTTTTTTTACTAATCACGCAGAACATACGCAGTTTAACATACAAAAAAAAAGTTGTACAGTATACCATTGCTGTTCAAAACCTGACAAGCTTTAAAATTAGGTACATCAAGTTTAACATCTTGATTTGCATAATTCACAAGCTGACCCAATTTGGCTTATCGATTTGCTCTACTTTATTCTGTATCTCAGTAGCACTTGCTCAGTTGCTTTTGTGAAACTTGGCAAAATGTTCTCATATTCTCAAGTCACTGAAGTACTAAATTGCTTCATATTTCTTTTGAGCTTTTATTTCAATGCAAGAGTCCTGCTAACGCCCAAACGCGCGCAAAGGCATTGAAGTCTACAGTTTTGATTTATTTTTTTGAGGATAAGAAAATTACATTTCAAAGAAAAATGAAAGATAATCACTTTCCAATAAAAACCAGGGAATTCAAGCTCTGATATTTCATGAGAACAGTAATTTAAGTTAACATAATTGACAAATAGAGTATTGAATTTAAAAACTTCGGAATTTTCTCATACAATTTGTTGTTGTAGGAAACTAGGATTACATAGGGAAAATATGACCATTGCTATCACGCCAAGAAAAAAATTAGTCCGTTGGTGTAATACCGCATTTGCGTCGAAGAACAATATTTTGCGGATTTACACCACGACTTGACAAACTAACCTTGGATGAGGGCAAATTTGTGACTAAGACCAGCTTTGAATGCACGAAACTGAGCTTCATCCAGTCCGAGTTCTTCTGGTTTTGGCCATTGATCCGTAAATGGGTTTCCGTAAAGTTGTCTGCCTTCGCCGGTCAAAAGGAAAATTCCTGCTTCCTGGCCACGATAATCCTCCATGTATTGCGGTAAGAACATATTCCTTTCCAAATCCACAATATGCTCTTTCAGTGGATAACGCTCCAAAGGAATGTTTTGCAATGAATGGAGAACATGGCGGTAGGCCTCAAAAAAGGCCGCACTTTCCACTATCAAAAATTCAGGACCTTTCGTCCAGGCATTCAGGTCAAATTGGGCGCTTTCGGGCCGTATTCTCACAACTCCTCGTTTCAGATCTTCAACTTTTCGGTCCGCAACAGAAGCAAACAGAACACTTTGGAAACCATCGTTCGTCAAGCAAAGCAGTGACCCAAATATCAAGCGCTTGCTGATCTCCCACCGAACTCGACCCAAATTTTTCAAAGAAAATTTGAGTTCAAGCGTGATTCCCACACGTTCGTAAACTTTTCCGACAACAACTCCTTTTTCGTAGATCCTGACATCTTGAATCTTTCTCCAGGCAGCAAAATTATCACCCGCCTTTTCCATTCCCTTCATTATTTCTACCACTCCATCTCGCAAGGGCCTGACAAAGTCTTCCTTCATCAGCCGGAATTGTACGTCCAAGTAATGGTCCGTGTTCAAATATCTCCCATTCGTAATATTGGCACGCAGAAAAGGCTTTTCTTTTGATAACAAATCAGCCAATGTTGGGAGAACCGACAACGTACGAAAATTTTCCGGTGCTTCTTCCAAGTGACTTCTGCCGTGCACGACAACTTTTTGTGCGATGACATGATCCGGCTTTTCAACAGTTTTGCGCAAGTCCGCCAAATTTTCACGAACTCGCTTGTACGTCTGATTCAGTTCGACATCTGGTCCGAGAATTTCATCCATATCTAATAGCACCATTCTGATCGAGTTGGCACACGCTTCTACGTTCATAGCCTCATCGGCCGGGCACAGTCTGACAATCAAGTCGAACAGTGAAATTTCGCTGCGCACAATGTCTCGGGCATCTCCAGGTTTCGAATCACACATTGGCGGCAATGTTGTCAAATTGAACTGAATGAGCGAGTCCAACAAGTTCGAGTGCACAGCCAAGGAAATGGCACGTCCGACAGTATGGCCGAATCCGTGCATTTCCATCGCCCTTCGAAGCACCTTCAAGACGTACTTCATCCTCTCGGGATTGTCCTTCAATCGTTCATCATGCAAAGCAAGCGGAAATCCAGACTTTTCGTTGATGACTGCGAAAATCGGAGCAGGATCATCGCCTTGAGCAAGAAGTTGCAGATCTTTCAGGCCCATGGGATGCTCCCGTTCTCGTCTATTCTTATTGAAATCTGCGCCAGAATTTTCTCTCCTCGGCATTGCTTGCGAACTTCTCGAATTGCGACCACGATCCCCTTGATTTTTATAATTTCCACGAGAAAAATGTTGCTTCCCTCTTTGTTCGTTTCGAATATCCTGAGCATCCGCTCCTCCGACAGGATTGCTCGGAGGGGTTGGTAATGAAGGCTTAACCCTGTGCCCTGAACCACGAACCTTGTGGGAGGAATCAAGATGGTTTGGAGATGACATGTAGCCTGAAATGATGGGAAATAAAATAAAATAAACAGAAGGCAATTCCATTTCAGCGCATCATCATACCATGTTGCTGTCCTCTTTGACCTTGCCGAATATCCTGAGCATACGCTCCTCTGACAGGATGAATCGGAGGTGTAGGTGTACGTAATAACGGCACACCATTATGTCCTGAACTTGGAAAGGAACCATAATGATTCGGAGATGAATTATAGCCTGAAAATACATGAATTAAGACTTTGAAAGTACAAAAAATTCCGGGTACAGTTCAACCGCTGAGTATCATCATCTCATGAACTTTGATCTGATCAATATCTCACCACAGTATAATACTGCATTCAGATTTCATGTACACAGAGATACAGAATCGTACTGTAATGTATTACAAAAAGCCACGGGGACCAAGAAAATTTCTTTATTTGAAGTTACAGTAATTGAATTTTACTTTGAGACTCGAATTACTGATTCAACCCTCAAGAGTTTTGATTATGATTTTATGGGTAACTGTGGGAAAAGTACCAACAAATACAAATCCAGTCATTTAAATATATAAGTCGAGGAAACTTGTCAAAAAAATAAAATAAAAAATTCAGCACAGCATCTAAGGTATTTCTGCTGGGATTGTTGGAAGTTCTCTACAATGATTTTCTCGGAACAACGATTTTTTTCTCTGTTTCTGATCTGGTTCTTGGACATTCCCGCAGGAGTCCTCAGAACATAATTTTTTCGTTGTAAAACCCATGCGTAAATCTTGACGGGATTGTATTTATAGTAGGAGCTTGACTCCTTACCTTGGAAATTTGAGTGGCCAGAGGGCCTTGGGTATGGGTTTCCCAGAAGACCAAACGGAGCACCTCTTCCAGGGAATCTCACCAATGGAATTGACATGGTCGAATGCCTTGGGGATTGCCCCCCACGAGACACATTGGACATATTTGAGCGTGACATAGTCCTCTATGGCTCCCAAAGAGATGATTGCTTCATCACATACGTGTACCTTGAAGTCAAGTCATTACTCCGGTCACACGATCTACCGACTTCGCACTCAAACGAACAGGCTACACAAATCGCAAACGAATTTTTGTCCTGTTGAAGGTTCCAGTCAGTCAAAATGTCACAACATATATCGACGATAATTCTTATCTGAAATTTCTCTCGATCATTTAAAGGAATGCCTTTGCCGGTGCTTGTCGTTCATGGTGGCGTGGGTAGCACAAAATCAGATGATGACCAAAACCGCATTACTGGAGTTATAAATGCGGCAAATCGGGGATTTGAGGAATTGTCGAATAAGAAATGTGCTTTGGAAGCTGTTGTGGCTGCAGTTGTCGCAATGGAGGACAACCCGGTGTTCAACGCAGGTTCATGTTAAATACAAATTCAACTCAAATACTGAAAGTAAAACAATTGCAGTCGAAGTCACATCTCGAAATTTAAGCTATAGGGCGCTTTTTTGTACGTGACCGGCCCTCTCAAAATAAATCCTGCTAAAAAAAAAGGCCAGAGTCAAAACGCACTTATATTGATTGAACTAAGAATCTTAACAAACGGTAAAAACAAATACTGTAGTACTCCTGCTTCAACCTCCAAATGAGGTTACGGAAATTTGAACATACTGTATGCCAGTACACACTGATAATCTCAAAGGTTTTCAAAAACTCCGTTCAACATTTCAATTCTTTCCAATCCCACCTCGATTCTAAGAAGTCAACGTTGATGATTCCCGCGTAGAATGACAGTTCGGTAGTCTCCTATCACAACAATTGGATGGGATCACGTCAAGGCCACATATTTGGTCTATGACATGATTAAGATTCAACGAAGCTAACGCACAGTACGGCACTATGATGGCGCATATTATTGTAAGACTACATACAGCAATTAGTATTATGCACTTGTTGTTTTGATGTAGGGATTGGTTCAGCGTTGACACTAGAAGGTACAGCAGAGCTTGACGCTGGGATCATGGACGGACGAACTTTAAAAGCAGGTTTTGTTTTGATTATCTTGCAATATTTCTCAAAAGCTCCTCCAATGGCTTGAAAATGTTTCTGCAGGAGCTGTAGGATGCGTGACAACAATACAAAATCCCGTTAAACTGTCCCACCTCGTCATGACGGAAACTCATCACTCTTTATTAGTTGGCAAAGGAGCAGAAATCTTCGCGGAACGCAACGGACTTCCATGCATTCCAAATCATGAACGGGTGACGGAAAACGCAAAAAGTTCACTCCAAAAATACAAGGATTCCGCAAGTAAAGTCCCTGGAAGTCAGTAAGTCCTTGAAAGCTAATAATACAGAAAGTGAAACCCGAAATTTGTTCCGGTGCTATGCGGGTATTTCAATTTCAGGTTTCATTTCTGTGATCAATGCAATTAGCTTTTTGAAGATTGGAAGAGATAGCAGTTAGCTACCTTTCTACGTCGATATTTGCCGAAGATAGTAAGGTATTACTTCTATACGCAAAATTTGAAGGCGGGAGACGTATACACTTCAGGTCACAAATAATCAATTGAGAAAGGCATATTCCGTACAATATGAACAGGTTCCGCACTCACAATGCGCGGACGCGAATCCAACTACAATGGACAAGTAGGGCTTATGATCATGCACCACTTGAAATCTGAGATAACAGCCACGTACCACGCATTTCTATTAAAACAAACATTTGAGCAATTACGTCGATCTGATATTCTCTAGAAATGGTTTCTTGAACATTCTCGAACTCATAGCTCTTTCGCATTGCATCCAAGGACTATGACAACCACTCCAAACGCCGCGGAGCGAAAATCTTGCGATAAATTATTGTACAAGTGCCAATTTGTCTCAATGAATCGAATTCAAAAAAGCTGATTCGACGTAATGCATAATTCTGGGTATTTGCAGAAAACAAACGAATACCTTAACTGTTCCACACCAGAGTGAAACTGTTGGAGCAGTAGCGATTGATGAGAACGGGCAGGTCGCTGTCGCAATTTCAACTGGAGGCCTCACAGGAAAATTACCAGGTCGCGTGGGAGACAGTCCATTAGTCGGTTTGTTTTACGCATTCAACGCAAAATACTACACGTAATCAATTCAAATAGGTATAGGCATCCCAAGGTGCACCACGCGATCAGTTTAAAATTTTTCAACACTTTTTGGCACACCGAAAATAAACCCTGCGGAATAAAAAAAAAAAGCTGAGTCAAATCGGCATTACTTATCTCGGATGGCAGCCGGTTCAAGCAGTGACATCACACCATGAGTAGAAGCTACTGACTAACAAAAAAAAATTGCTTCTACGTTTCACTTCAAGATAGATTCAGATGAATCCCCCCAAATGCGTCATTTAACCAGCAATTCGAAATATGTTAGAGAATTATGAACGAAACGTACGTCATATTCTTCCACTGCGATTGAAAATCAAGTCCTCCAAATAGTTGAAACTTGCGCCGTCGATGTTAGTATCCCGAATAAATGTTGAAACTAGGACGAGGACCTCATTCGTTGATTCCTCATTCACTGAGTGAAATTCAGTAAGGCCTGATAAATAAGTCCTCGGCCAGCGTCACAATTACAGGAGTATATTTCAGTTAAACTCCCAAGTCGAGATTCCCATAACACACTTAAAGCACTTTCACAAAGTCAACAACATAAAAAGAGATGAGCTCTTGTCAAAAGTCAGAAAACGAATAGTGAGAGATACCAATCTCGAACACAACTTTATCACGCTATCTCTCCCGCAGATCTACAAGGACGCGACCCTAACGCCAACCGGGAAAAACATCCGCCGGAAAGGGCAATGGCATCTAACGGACCCCGCCGCCGAAAAAGACAACAAAACCTAACTGAACCGAGGTCACACACACGGACACATAAGGACGACCCCAAACGGAAGACTTCACTTCAGTCCAAACTTCTGCACCGACCACGTCTCCTTGCTGCTCCGTGTATCTTGTGTCTTGTGCATATAAACCCTTCTGTGTCCTCGTCAGAACCGACCGCCTACAACAAGAAAATATACTCTGCCCTTTTACGTGTACATCATCTACACTTTCCGCACACTTACTGGGGGCTCGTCCGCCAACCTACACCATCAGACCTGACCACGACCATCACCATGCCCAGGGATACGGAAACGTCCAAAGCCGCCAAACGGGCAGCCCTCGAGCTGGCTCAGGTCCAGGCAGCATGCGCAGCATCCCTCGGGCAACAGCCAGAACATCCCACCCCACCTACGGAGAACGCCGCATCCGAGTCGTCGCTGGGCAGGCCGCCCAGTGCAATCTCCTCCACCTCAACGCCGCATCCGTGGGACTTCATCTCCTTGACGACACTGCAGCGCTTCAAGGAGACCTACGTGGCCAAACGCCCGCCAACTACGGAGAAACCGAGCTATATCACATTGCTCGAAAACCTGAACATCTCGCCGGTAACCCNCTTCACTTCGAGAATCTAAGTTTTCATGTCATAATTATACAGGGCAATAATGATCGAAGGAATGATTCAAAAAATTCAGAACGTACTCAGCACTATAATTTGCTTGAATGGTCGTCTTATATCGAGCTCTGGTCCGTTCTAACGCATCCAGCGACTTTTGCGAAATCAAGGAGGAATTTTCCACTTCAGCAAATGAAATAGATTTTGCGAACTGCTCAGCTCCTTCAGCAACAAGGAATACGTGATCCGTTTTCTCCATCACTTGTCGGGCCAGACTCACAGGGTTTTTGACGGTTTTCACACAACCAACCGCACCTTTTCCAAGTTTAATTAAATGTTAAAACTTAGCCAAAACATGCGTCTTTTTCAGAAGGATAACCATCAAATGGAAAATTTTCCAGACAATATTCAAGGAGAATTTAGAAGACCCTATGAAGTATACACTATACTCAAACACAGAACATTGGTATCATTGAAGTTCTTATACTGTAATCGTATAATTTTAATTAAATTGAAACATTTTCGCTATTTGCATTCTAAAAAAAGACTATATAACTGAATAGTCAATGAGGACGATTTTAAACCATTCCTTGAAGGTAACTCATCCAAAAAGATCAAATGTGATGTTGGGAAAAACATACACACCATTCTTTCAAATCGAGATTTGAACTATTGTAAGTACAAATTAATTTTTTAAATATTTGTATTAATTTCGAGGAGTTTTTTTTAACTAAATCAATTATTTTGATGCTTCCAATTTTTTTTTCTTAAATAAAATACTTAAAAAACATTTGACACGCGCTTTAATCATAATCAATGCATTTTTTCTTTTACCTGAAATCAAAACATGCTCCTTGATAATAAACTCGAGATGACGCTTTCGAAGGATTAGAATCATTGCTTCTTTTATGAAACGTGGTCGCTATTGAAATTCAAAAGGCGCAACACATTTTCTCAGCTCACGCGTTGAAAACGAAACATTAAATCGGTGGGAAAAAAATTGACGAAACACCTGTCTTCTTTTTAAAGGAAGAACAAAGTATATAGAGACATTTCCTGAAATATTCCTTTCACACACCTGCTTCCAAAGTTTTTCCTTCCATAATCCCAGCATCCAACTCCACGTGTCCAACAGAAGTCAAGGAGCCGCCAATACCTGAAATCAATTTTTACTTCTGAAAGGATAATTTCTTTGCTAAAACATTTAATAAAATATATTCATTGTTGAATTTTGGAGTTCTTGATTTAAATGTAAACAAAAATCTAACCTGACACGTGGCAACTCCACGTGTCCAACAGAAGTCATGGAACCGCCAATACCTGAAATCAATTTTTACTTCTCAAAGGATAATTTCTTTGCTAAAATATTTAATAAAATATATTCATTGTTGAATTTTGGAGTTCTTGAATTAAATGTAAAAAAAAAATCTAACCTGCATTGAAAATTGAATCGTTTTCCATAGCATTAACCGCGGCCTCGACAGCATCCAAAGAAGAACCAGTTTCTTCCAATTTTTCAAAACCAGAATTTGCAGCTTCCTGAATGCCCTTCAAATACCTTTCTACGTATTCATCGCGAACTTTGAAAGCACCACCGTGAAGAATCACAACCGGTTCCATCTGCAAAATTGCAAAAACAAAAATTCGGTTATTTTTCTACACTTCGGAAAAATTTAAGAATCACCTACGTGAACATAAAACGGGAGAAAGATTAAACAGATAACAGGCAAGGCATTCAAATGTAGAAAATGAGAAAGGAAACAAACTTCGTCGAAAAAAGCATTGTCTCATATATTTTATGCAAGGTTCACTTATTATAATACAGTACTTATTTTCGAACAACTGATGGCAAATTAAATTAAAATTGGTTCAGAAAAAAAGTTCAGGTGAACCAATCCCTTAGTATTGAAAAAAAAAACCAGAATTAAAAATAATCATGTGATTTTACGGTACTGAATCTGAATCATGGGCTACAGGAAATCAGGTCACATTTCTCTGAGGAGCAACCTTGCATATTATGTCTTGTGACCACATTTCACAGCTCTACTAAAGTTTACAATTGCAAACCAGACGATACAAGGTTGCCAGACAACTCTCTGTGAACTAGACAGCAATTCACCCTGACCAGAGTCATCCAGGTTGACCTGAGTCACCCATTGTCTTGCTCTCTCATCTCTTCCCCACATGACCATGACAATAAAAAGGAATGTGATTATGTTTTCACCAAGCAGTTGAGGGCATATGTCAGAGTATTTGTGTATTCCATTTTTGCTTAAAAAGAAAGAATTGTTCTCACAAACAAGACTTGGGAGTAGTTCATTGGGAAAATTTCCAAATAATTTTTAAATGTACTCAAAGACAACATATACATTCTAGTACACAATAAGTTGTCAAGAACAAAGAACAACCATTAGATTGACAGAAAAAAATCATCATAAATTTGTTGAGATAGATTCATGAATTATTTACTGTATTCCAAGTACAAATCAACAATTTTGGAATTTCAGGCAACAGTCTTGTTCTGAAGTTATTTGGGTACCAAACATCCGCCGGAAAGGGCAATGGCATCTAACGGACCCCGCCGCCGAAAAAGACAACAAAACCTAACTGAACCGAGGTCACACACACGGACACATAAGGACGACCCCAAACGGAAGACTTCACTTCAGTCCAAACTTCTGCACCAACCACGTCTCCTTGCTGCTCCGTGTATCTTGTGGCTTGTGCATATAAACCCTTCTGTGTCCTCGTCAGAACTGACCGCCTACGACAAGAAAATATACTCTGCCCTTTTACGTGTACATCATCTACACTTTCCGCACACTTACTGAATCATCACTTGGAAATCCTCATCTGCACGCCTCTCATCCGATTGCGATAATGATCTCCATCCTGGCGAAGCCTAGGTGGGAGATATATCCGGGTCTGGGCTTTTCTGTAGATGTAACTAGATGTCGCTAAATATAAGGGTCCTGATAAGGGATCCCTTACTATTCGGTACTACATTGAGTGAGGCATCAACCTCACCCTCACACGTGACACCTAGCGGCGAACCATCGGGCCGTGCCCTTCTCCCACCCTTGTATTCCATGCGTGCCTTATTGCGATCTTGATCTTGGGGGAAGCATGGAACGAGGGATTCCGCAAGACAAGGTGGCGGCACTTCGCTCTTGACTCTTGACAGTGATACATTGGTTTTATATCTGACCTATTTATTGTGGTGCTGTTCCTGTATAATACAAGACGTTGTTTGTGAAGAGAATACGTGTGTCAAAGTCTCTGCCACCCGAAAACTCTTATTGGGGGCTCGAGCCACTTTCTACCTCCTACTATTCGACACCGTAGACACGCCAGCATCCACAATGCCCCGAAATACTGAGAACTCCAAAGCCGCAGCGGCAGCCGCCAAAGCAGCCGAGGTTCTCGCCGAACTTGCCGGAATCGTGGAAGACGACGACGACTTTCAAGACACCAAACCCCAACCTCGGGACGAAAGACGCGCTCCGCAGGCCTCGCCAACAATCTCCCGCTCTTCGGCAGGAACATCGACCAGCGTGTGGGAGAACCTGCCACTCACAACGCTACAACTACTTGTGGACGTCTATCATCTCGGACATCCAGAGAGCGCCGCCAAGATAGACTACGCTGCACAGCTTGACCGTTTCCGCATCCCGATCACCGCTCTGCAGGACCTGTCACGCCTTCACATACGGGGAGCTGTAGTTGCGCACGTCGGACGAACCGGCCTGCTGCCGCGTAGCGTCTCTCGACACAAAGTTGGTGGGGTTACCGATGAGCTGTACGTCTGGGGCTTAAATGGCTTCGTCTCCTGTCTCAAAACGTTCGAGGACTTTGCAACTCGACTTTGAAATGTCCTTGCAGTAGGCCGCATCTCCGACAAACAACGGGTATGCTGCATTTTGAGCAACACCCTCCCAAACATTCAGACGACAGCAAACCGGATTTATCGGCGGGGAATCACTGACTTTGACCAACTCGTCGAAGCCGTGGCTCGCCGGTTCCCGACTCCACATCTGGATTGACTGAAACGCTTCCGCCAGCTCAAACCCGATTCAGGCGAGAGTTTCTTCAATTCTGGAGAGCGATTACGAGAAGAGTTTGAACTATGAGTTCAACTACCCTTGCCGGAGCTCGATGCCGCGGACAACGTTATACAATTCATCCTGAAGGAGCAGCTCCTCAACTCCGCGGAAACAGGACTGCGGGATGAACTCCACAAGAAGTGGTCCAAGCGTCGCCACATCACCTGGGACAACTTTGTGGACGTAGCGGAATCATATCGGCTCAATCATCCCGCCCCCGGCTCCGGAAACCAAACAGCAAGAACCGGTCCCAGACAAAAAGTCGACCTGCCTCCGAAACAATGGTGCAACTTCCACAAGAAGTCTGTTTGCCACAGCGCACAGGAGTGTCGCCTTCGTCTACGCCAAACGGGTTCGGCACAATTGACCAGCGAATCTACATTGTCTCGACAGGTTAGCAACTCTTCATCCACATCCGCAGCGAAATCCAGTTTTTCAGATGCCGCGGGGCCGACCTGTTTTCATTGTAATCGCACTGGTCATTACGCAAAAGAGTGTCCGCAAGTTCAGGGAAACGCAAAATCGTCACAGTGAACGCGGCTCACTGTTTCGCGACAAATGTGCAAGCCGCACCCCCTCCCATTTTAATTTCAATTTGTATTTTGGGACGCTCGCTATCTGCCTTACTCGATACGGGCGCATCGCATTCTTTTATTTCGGACGAAATCGTGCATCAACTAGCGTTACCGACCTCGCCGTTACACATGACCGTGAGCACGGCGCTCAGTCCCGAAGCTTCTCGCGTCAGTTGCGTCATCGACACCGTCTTTCGTTTTCAAAACACCGACCACGCCGGCGAATTTCTCGTCCTGCCCGGCATGCTGGACTTTCCTGTTATCATGGGACGAACCATGCTTTTACAGTTACCGTTGACAATCACGTTAGATGGCAAACGCATCTTTACCGGTTTTCACAAAGTGATGAGGGCTCCTGCTGCCCCAACGCTCTCGGTGGGCAAGGGAATTTCTTTTGTTGACGGAAACAGTCACGAACGCGAACGCGTCACCCAAATTCTGAAACGCCATGCGCCTCTGATCTGACAATGGTCAGGGCGAAGGGGTCTGTTTGCTAAGCATGTGGTCCGCATCCCCACAATCGAGGCAACCCCGCCGGCAGCTTGCCAATTTTGACATTCCGTGGAACGCAACGCACCGTTCGCGGAAATCATAGACGCCTACCTCAAAGCGGGCATCCTGGAGTGCGCTGCTTCACCTTACAACGCGCCTGCCTTTTTAGTCGACAAAAAGTGCTCCGACCCAAACGCCCCGGCCAAGAAGCGCTTCCGTCTCGTTGAGGATTACGGCGAACTCAACAAGCTCATCATGCCCGACAATTACCCAATGCCGACTGTCCAGGAGCTCCTGGAAGCGTTGGGCCGGAATAACCTCTTTTTTTGTACTTAAGATCTACACGCAGGGTACCGTCACCTGCCAATCACGCAGGAGGACAGGCCGAAAACAGCGTTCATGTCACCAAGGGGGCAAGTGCAATACAAAGTGCTCCCCTTTGGTTTGAAAACGGGCCCTGCTCTTTTCCAAAGGACAATTAATACCATTCTCAGACCTCTGCTTTTCAGACGCTGCTTAGCCTACGTCGACGACATGATCATCTTTGGGGAAACGTTTGACATTCTCTGCAAAAACCTCGACATCGTCCTTCAAACCCTTCAAGAGGCAGGCGCCTGCGTCGACATCGTGAAGTCATCATTTCTTGCCCACAAGACCCTGTTCCTGGGCCACGAAGTCGACCAAACGGGCAGCCGCCCAGCTGAAAGAAACGTGGACGCTGTGTTGAGGTATCCGAAACCAGAGACCCGCCGACAGATGCAGCAATTTCTCGGGATGGCCACATACCTGCGGTCACACCTGCCAACAAATTTCGCAGAATCGGAGAAGGCCCTCCGTTTGACCATCCCGCCCAAACCAGCCACCAGAGTCCTTTGGTCACCCACAGCTGAGCTCGCGTTTGAACACATCAAGAGCGTCCTTGCCGACACCGCTCGTCTCGAACGCGTTGACCACAGCTGGCCCATTGCCGTCCATTGCGACGCGTCGGCAATCTCCCTCGGCGCCGTGCTCGTCCAGTCAGACCCCAACGGCAACGAACGCGTCATCGAGTACGCAAGTCGAACGCTGAAGGATGCCAAGACACGCTACTCCAACACCGAACGTGAGTTGTTAGCTATAGTCTGGAGCGTGACAAAGAAGTTCCGCCATCATCTCGTCCACCGTAAATTTTGTGTGTATACTGACCACAAAGCATTATTAGGGCGGCTCCAATCCAAAAGGTTAATCAGTTTACAGGCCAAACTCGCGACATTTGATTTCCAACTAATCCATCGGGCCGGGAAGGCTCTCCAGGCTCCAGACGCCCTCAGCCGCATTTCGTTGAACAACGCCACAGCCCGCACGCAACCCCAAGAGGAAGACCGTATCCCCATCATCGATGCATACCACGCCGAATTGGGACACGCCGGGTGGAAGAAGGTATTAACCATGCTTTGCGATCGGTTCGAGTGGCCGAAAATGCAACAAGACGTATGGAAACGCATTTTAGCATGTGAGTTATGTTTTAAATATAATCAACCGACTCAGCTGATAGGCACTCACATGAGCGCCGTCGAATCAAACCGTCCGCGGGAACGTCTGGTCCTCGATTTCTACGGGCCCCTCCCAAAGACAAAAGAAGACTTCAGGTATGCCATAGTAGCTGTTGACCATTTCAGCAAATACATGGTTGCACAGCCAATCATCGCCCCCGACTCGCAAACCGTCATACCCTTTCTGGCAGAAGTTTTCCGCCAATACGGTCTTTTTGAAATAATTCATTCCGACTGCGACTCTGTGTTCACAGGTCATGCCTTCCGTCATTTCCTCAAGGGCTACGACATCCAACAACACGTCGCCCAAGCGACGCACCCAGAAGGGAACGGCTGTTGCGAGAGGTCGATCAAGACTCTGGCCCAGATTCAGGCCAAAGCGGTCCAGGGCAACGACATCACCTGGGCCACGCACCTGCAAACCTCGGTCAAGGCCTACAATAGCACCGTCCATTCAGCAACCGGCGTCACACCCACCGAGGCCATGTTTGGTCGACGCACCGTACTCGACGCAGACCACACTTTCGGAGCAACCCTAACCGAAGAGGAAATCTCACTCGACGTCCTCCAACAGCGTTCCCAGTTACATCGCGACCAGTTCATAGCCCAAGCAAATAAGCACAAGCAACCCCACTTCCAACCAGGTGATTTCATAGCAATATTTCCGCGTTTACCCACAGTGGAGAAGCACGCGGCAAACCGCCGCTTCCGTCCTCAATGCATTGGGCCATTCATGGTCATCTCGTATCAGGGCGACGGCAAGTACTACGTCGGAGCCGGACCGAATGTCCGAAGAGCCAACGCATGGGAAATGGTCCCCTACCGGGGATTGCCGCGTCCACCCAACCACGGTTTTGAGAAGCAAATGGGCCTTATTCATGTCGGCTCCAACATCGACAGTATAGTGCCCCCATCGGACCACGGCTACGCTCGCAGACCCACCGATGCCCCGTCAGAAGCACAGCGGACCACTGTTCTGGATCATGCGTATGGGCGACCCACCGCGTGGCTGCCCACCGACGCGAAAGTTCAGAAAGAACATGCCTACTCTCGAAGTTGCACTTTTTCCAAACGAAAATCAAAACGTGCCAAAACCGTGACTTTTTCGGGGGGGGTAAAGTTCAGAAAGAACATGCCTACTCTCGAAGTTGCACTTTTTCCAAACGAAAATCAAAACGTGCCAAAACCGCGACTTTTTCGGGGGGGGGGGAGAGTGAGGCATCAACCTCACCCTCACACGCGACACCTAGCGGCGAACCATCGGGCCGTGCCCTTCTCCCACCCTTGTATTCCACGCGCGCCTTATCGCGATCGTGATCTTGGGGGAAGCATGGAACGAGGGATTCTGCGAGACGAGGTGGCGGCACTTCGCTCTTGACTCTTGACAGTGATACATTGGTTTTATATCTGACCTATTTATTGTGGTGCTGTTCCTGTATAATACAAGACGTGTTTGTGAAGAGAATACGTGTGTCGAAGTCTCCGCCACCCGAAAACTCTTACTATTGTCACGATCACTCAGCCACCCAGACCCGCATGCGTCTATGCAGCGGGTGATTTGAACTGGCAACAGTGACGGAATGAGAGAATCTGTGCATTAAGGCGTGACATCTACACATTTAAGTAAGGAACCTTCACGCAGGCGCAGGTTTCTATGCTGACAACGATGTTGGCGCTTTCTGCGCTACTGGGAATGGTGATGTTATCATTCGGAGTGTGCTTTGCTACGACATCAATTGGCGCATCAAATCGGGTTCGTAAACTTGAACGAATCATTGTGGTTTGATTAATAGCATGAGGAATCGTCTTAACAATAAATCACCGCTCGCGGAGTCGTAGAAATTTTACAGTACGCATAATGCCCATATGTCTCCTGATCGAAGGTATGGAATTGCAGCGCGCATGCGACTCAGCGCTTGACACAGTCGTGAAGCGATTCGGCAGCCGAAATGGGGTAATCGGTATAACGAAGGAAGGGCGCGCAGCAATTTCCTTCAGAGCAGAATGCATGGCTTGGGCGATTCGTAAGGCATCCGAAATTCAGTGGGGACTCTACGCGGATGAAAGAAACACTATACTACCGTTCCAGCTGAACCTTGACCGTCAAAAATTTGGAAAAAGTTCGAATTGCTGTCTGCGTCTCACTTCCGAGTAAAAAGTATTTCTAATTCTGCTTTATCATTCGCCGCAATCAACTTCAGTTCTGCATGTAGTGAAGAAATGAACGAATGATTAAAGTACCTGCAGTCGCGTTGTTGCGTAAACGTCTACCTGTTCGTGGAAGGAGGTACCCTTTGAAAAAAATTACGCGTATCAATTTCAGGACCCCATTTCAATCAAGTCACAATTTTATTAACCACGCGGCACAACAACGAACTTCAGATGATAATTTTAGACTTGTATGCGACAATTATGGCAGAAAACGCAACCGTGGGTAACGAATTATTCCACTCTTGAAAAAAAAGGAACGACTATAAAAGGTTATAGACGACGTTCAAGCTAACAAGCATTGCGCCTGGAATTCGATTCCACTTAAAATCTTTGAAGCAGCGTAATTACTCATCGCTGAGATTATTTCTTCAGGTAAATTTTCCGGTATCGTGCTTTCTGGCCGACTGCAATATTTATCCGCACAGAATAAGCCTATATATTGTGCTTGCATGTACAATGCCAAAAACTTTTGTTCAGTAGAACATATTGTACTTATTATCACCTGAGATCAATTATGCTGCTGGAATTCGACCGTCCCCTATTAAAGAATCAGGTCGCTTCCTTTCCCACACGAAATGACATTTTATCGAATCTCATCAACGTCCGGATGATAAAGATTTGCGTACAGCAAGCACTACAAAAATTCTGGAATGTATCATCGAACAGATGGAGATCAAGAGGTTAGGTTTAAAATTACAGCAGAGCATATGCAAGTTGCGTTATATTCTTTTCCAGCAGATGAACATTCGACTATTACAAAAAGAAAAATTGATGGATATAGATCTTTTAAATATGGTTAATCTAAGCCCGCGTGAGAGTTGGTACCGAGAACGAAAGTTTTGTAATAGCCAATAATGAAAAAGTATGCATTTGATAAATGAGCTATAGTTTTCGATACTGTACTATTAGTTTATTAGTCATGCAAAGAGATAAACCTTAAAAGACCTACATAGCGGATATGTATGACAGCATGTGTCATTCATCCATCTCCACACTATCCACAGCATACTGTAAATCCGAAAAAAATATCTCATCAGGAATGTTGGAATGACTCAGTCATATCAGCGCCACGTCTCAATGATATCTCTAATCCCCGATTCTTTCAATTATTTCTTCGCCCCGATTTATTCCGAAACGAATCTCATCTCTTCGTCGGATAGCCCAAGACATTCTGTACGTGTTGAATGAGTATGCCACGTCACCGTTCTTGTTCACAGCTATCGCTCCTCCGTAACCATCCCCGTCTATTCGGAGTCTCATCTCCTCCAAAGCTGCATCGCAAGCCTCTTTCGGGGAAAAACCTGCAATATTAACCGAAATCTATTCATGTTCTAATCTGATATAGTTCCTCAAAATAATATTCCACGCGCGTTCAATTTCTGCGAGGGATATAATACCGCGAAAAAAAAGAAACAGCAATATAGAGAATCAAATATAGATGGACTTAGAGGACATTCTCTTCACAACCATCTTGTCTACAGAGATTTTCTCCGTGAAACGATTTTTTTTGGGTCCCATACGGTTGTACCCCATATTGTAAGGGTTCTTTACAACGGATTTTTCAGGTCCCTTGAATTTCTTTGTGCGGAGAGAATCATGTACTGTACAGCAGTTGAAAAATACAAGTACAGTAGTTTAAAAAATAGAAAAATTTACGACTAAAAATAATTTCATGAAAAAATGAAACTTTTGATGATGATCCGCGATTTTTTCTTCCAATACAAAACGAAAATGGAAATGATGCGGAAAAAGCGCCCGAAGTTGAGAAAAAATAACCAAATGATACACGACAACAAACACAAGTTGAGAGCAGCATAACAAATGTACAGTACACAAACGAATAATAGAGTCGATGAAATGTGAAATCCAGATTTTTTTTTTTTCTGGTACAATCGCGCAATCAGAGAACATATCAGCGGCGAATAATGTATTGTTTTCACCTGCGTCCATTTTAGAGCTGATGCGGTGAGCAAGAACCATTTTGGCAATGGCTTCCCCATTGCCTGTGGTGCAAACGCCACCAATGGTGTCATCCGCAAAGAATCCACCACCTGAACCACAAAACATGATGAAACTTATAGATGTTGCTTCGATCAGTCGGCATTTTATAAAAATATATTCGATTTAATTACCAATTAGTGGACTATCTCCGATCCTTCCCGGCATTTTCGCAGTAAGACCTCCGGTTGAAATGGCGACAGCAATTTCTCCTCTGGAATTGATTGCGACTGCACCAACTGTGTCGCCGTCTTCGGAATTCCCTGACGTTAAGGCGACATCTGTCTTCGTTGCAGCACTACCACGAAAAGCAACATTTAAAGAATTTATGGAAAGGTGACGCTGTTGAAAGCTTTGTGGTTAAGTACAATTTCTTCACTTCGAGAATCTAAGTTTTCATGTCATAATTATACAGGGCAATAATGATCGAAGGAATGATTCAAAAAATTCAGAACGTACTCAGCACTATAATTTGCTTGAATGGTCGTCTTATATCGAGCTCTGGTCCGTTCTAACGCATCCAGCGACTTTTGCGAAATCAAGGAGGAATTTTCCACTTCAGCAAATGAAATAGATTTTGCGAACTGCTCAGCTCCTTCAGCAACAAGGAATACGTGATCCGTTTTCTCCATCACTTGTCGGGCCAGACTCACAGGGTTTTTGACGGTTTTCACACAACCAACCGCACCTTTTCCAAGTTTAATTAAATGTTAAAACTTAGCCAAAACATGCGTCTTTTTCAGAAGGATAACCATCAAATGGAAAATTTTCCAGACAATATTCAAGGAGAATTTAGAAGACCCTATGAAGTATACACTATACTCAAACACAGAACATTGGTATCATTGAAGTTCTTATACTGTAATCGTATAATTTTAATTAAATTGAAACATTTTCGCTATTTGCATTCTAAAAAAAGACTATATAACTGAATAGTCAATGAGGACGATTTTAAACCATTCCTTGAAGGTAACTCATCCAAAAAGATCAAATGTGATGTTGGGAAAAACATACACACCATTCTTTCAAATCGAGATTTGAACTATTGTAAGTACAAATTAATTTTTTAAATATTTGTATTAATTTCGAGGAGTTTTTTTTAACTAAATCAATTATTTTGATGCTTCCAATTTTTTTTTCTTAAATAAAATACTTAAAAAACATTTGACACGCGCTTTAATCATAATCAATGCATTTTTTCTTTTACCTGAAATCAAAACATGCTCCTTGATAATAAACTCGAGATGACGCTTTCGAAGGATTAGAATCATTGCTTCTTTTATGAAACGTGGTCGCTATTGAAATTCAAAAGGCGCAACACATTTTCTCAGCTCACGCGTTGAAAACGAAACATTAAATCGGTGGGAAAAAAATTGACGAAACACCTGTCTTCTTTTTAAAGGAAGAACAAAGTATATAGAGACATTTCCTGAAATATTCCTTTCACACACCTGCTTCCAAAGTTTTTCCTTCCATAATCCCAGCATCCAACTCCACGTGTCCAACAGAAGTCAAGGAGCCGCCAATACCTGAAATCAATTTTTACTTCTGAAAGGATAATTTCTTTGCTAAAACATTTAATAAAATATATTCATTGTTGAATTTTGGAGTTCTTGATTTAAATGTAAACAAAAATCTAACCTGACACGTGGCAACTCCACGTGTCCAACAGAAGTCATGGAACCGCCAATACCTGAAATCAATTTTTACTTCTCAAAGGATAATTTCTTTGCTAAAACATTTAATAAAATATTTTCATCGTTGCATTTTGGAGTTCTTGATTCAAATTTTAAAAAATCTAACCTGCATTGAAAATTGAATCGTTTTCCATAGCATTAACCGCGGCCTCGACAGCATCCAAAGAAGAACCAGTTTCTTCCAATTTTTCAAAACCAGAATTTGCAGCTTCCTGAATGCCCTTCAAATACCTTTCTACGTATTCATCGCGAACTTTGAAAGCACCACCGTGAAGAATCACAACCGGTTCCATCTGCAAAATTGCAAAAACAAAAATTCGGTTATTTTTCTACACTTCGGAAAAATTTAAGAATCACCTACGTGAACATAAAACGGGAGAAAGATTAAACAGATAACAGGCAAGGCATTCAAATGTAGAAAATGAGAAAGGAAACAAACTTCGTCGAAAAAAGCATTGTCTCATATATTTTATGCAAGGTTCACTTATTATAATACAGTACTTATTTTCGAACAACTGATGGCAAATTAAATTAAAATTGGTTCAGAAAAAAAGTTCAGGTGAACCAATCCCTTAGTATTGAAAAAAAAAACCAGAATTAAAAATAATCATGTGATTTTACGGTACTGAATCTGAATCATGGGCTACAGGAAATCAGGTCACATTTCTCTGAGGAGCAACCTTGCATATTATGTCTTGTGACCACATTTCACAGCTCTACTAAAGTTTACAATTGCAAACCAGACGATACAAGGTTGCCAGACAACTCTCTGTGAACTAGACAGCAATTCACCCTGACCAGAGTCATCCAGGTTGACCTGAGTCACCCATTGTCTTGCTCTCTCATCTCTTCCCCACATGACCATGACAATAAAAAGGAATGTGATTATGTTTTCACCAAGCAGTTGAGGGCATATGTCAGAGTATTTGTGTATTCCATTTTTGCTTAAAAAGAAAGAATTGTTCTCACAAACAAGACTTGGGAGTAGTTCATTGGGAAAATTTCCAAATAATTTTTAAATGTACTCAAAGACAACATATACATTCTAGTACACAATAAGTTGTCAAGAACAAAGAACAACCATTAGATTGACAGAAAAAAATCATCATAAATTTGTTGAGATAGATTCATGAATTATTTACTGTATTCCAAGTACAAATCAACAATTTTGGAATTTCAGGCAACAGTCTTGTTCTGAAGTTATTTGGGTACCAAAGCATCTGGCCCAAGTGAATAAGACAGGATTTTAAACCACAGCATGTGCGATGACTGACGAGGCTTCAGACAAGTTTTTGGAAACTTACTAGAGATTTATTTTTTTTTAATCGCATTACTATGACAATTCATTCTAATTGATTACCATGAAAAAAATGCTCAAGAGGCTGGAATCTGATGATGTAGCAGTTCTTCCATTAAGTTCTTTGTTTTTTTTAAAAGCTCAATGAACCTATGCATGTTTTCATAAAATTAGAAAATGCACTCTCAAAAAGCATACCGTTTCACTGAATCAAAATGTATCTGAACTCACGCTAAAAAAATTTACACAGTTGAAAACAATAAATGTTCTTAAATGTGCACATAAAAACTGACAGTAATTCCTACGAATAGAGAGAACAAAGTTGTTCTCCCTTCCCAAAAAATAATAAATAAAGGCTTTTGCACACGTTGTTTCCCGGAAATCGTTCGAGAAAATTCTTTCGGCGAGTAGTGACTCACATCAGATCAGACTGAGAATCAACTACGTGATTTTCCTTCAGTTTCAACCCCCATAGAATCCTTCCTCATTATTCATTCAGGATCACAATCTTTCACACACCCGTATTTGAAGAAAGGTCCCAGTCCTTGTAAAGAACAAAGCTTGTCCGCACGAACCAAAACAGGGCATGTCACACCTCAACGGTATCTTATAATACACTATTGAAAAAATTAAATCCAGGACAGTGACGTTAAAATTTCATGATTTGAATTTAAAAGGACTCTCAGAAAAATTCAAGAGCTTTCGAATCAAAGAACATGGCCGTAATCGTGCAGGTTATAAAAGAATAAATTTAATTATAATAGCCAATAAATTAACCAACAACATTCTTTAGTACAGCACTGTACTCAACAGTGTTGTACTGCGAGTGAAATTTCCTGGGAGAATCAGCCTCAATATTTGTAATCTTTCCCATTTTAGCATGGGTTCCGTGTGGGCGGACTTCTCAGGTACAGTACCACGCCCAACTTCAACTTCGCCAGGGAAACACAGCACAGTAATAACCTTATCCCCCACTCTCAACCACAGAAAAAAGAAGAGTATGTTCAAATGACTCACTGCTGTAAAGTAAGATCAAGGTCGTCGACACCAAGACATCTGATACAGATTGAATGTACACGTGCATATCATATTTACCGAACATCAGGTCATATCTCGAACATGAAAAAAAAAAAGAAATTCAAAACACGCTGTTGCAGCCTATAATTCAAGCCCCATTTTTGTCAATTTTCCAAATTATCAGGGACAAATACTTTTCAAATCAACGAAGAAGTGACAAATTAGAACTGCTGTAACGTAGATTTTATTCCTCTCAAAATGAGCAGATCACAGCCCATTTTCCTCAAGTCGTTCATTTTCAATTACATTTTTCTAGACCAGATGCATAAAATAATGGTTCTGAGAAAACCCATGGAAACGTTTTCTAATTAAAAAAAAGAAAGCTGCAAGACTTCACAGTTTAATCACGCACTGAATTTTTTTGTTTTACAGAAAATCTCGTTCGGTATGTTGCTCGTGAAATTGCTTTTAAAGAAGTAGTGAACACACGTCATGGTACCAAAATATGAATTCACTCATCAGCCCGAAAACAAGAAGTTTCATCAGCAGCAACCCAGCAGAGATCAGCAAGAAAACTATTTTTTCTTTGAAATGTTTTTTTCAAACTTTTTTTAAATATTTAAAATTATAACAATAATGACGCACGTGTATGACGTTTTTTCTCAAATGACCTCACTAACTCTCTCCCGAACATTCTTCATGCTCTCACCGTAAATAGCATAGACTTCCAAAAATAAACCCATGCGTTATTTTTTGGGATCCGGATTCCGCACATTCCATGGTGAACTGCTTACATTTTAAATCCAGACAAAACAAATCTAAACCATCTTAAAACCCTTCGAAAATTTACTTGAATGTAGAAACACGCTAGTGCTGATGTCAGTGAGTTTGACTATGTAAAATGAAAATATCAATTGCTGATGAAAAGTCTGTGACATATGTGACTTGATTTTCTTCAAGCACACCTCATCAAATTCACAACTAATAGCAGCAAAAATAATCAAGACTCTGTTAAAAAGATTTCTTTCAGCTTCTTTCTCAAATTATTTGATGTTTATTGCTTACAACCATGAGCTCGGGACATGAGGATTTTTTTTAATAAATCAAAAATACAGTAACAACTTACGGAAAGCATCCACTGTACTCGCAGTTTGTTGAATTGAGTGAGGCCCCCAGATGCGGACGTAATTGGTGCATCAAGAGTTTCCCTAATTTGAAATTTCATTAAGTCAAGTATCATTTTCACATAGGCTTACATTATATCATTTTCAATTGGTGTTGTATGGAAGAAATATTCATCAAAATGCAATGAAAATTTTTTTGCCACTTGAATTTGATTCAGCGTGTACCGTATTTCTTTCAACTCAATAAGAACATTTGGAGCATTGAGTATTGTATCTCTGTAAAGTACATTGAAATGTTGGCATCTGTAAAAATAACATTCAAGTCACAAAGAGAGAAGGAAGTCCCACTATGCAGTAGGTATTTTTTTTTTCAAATTAACTGAATGGATGGGAAAATGATGGGAGAAATACAAAATAATTTTTTCTCGCATAGATCTTAGGGTTGGAAATACTGTACTGTACAGTATCTGTTTCTTACAATTAAGCCTAATAAAAGTCAATTTTCCTGAAATTGTTTGGCCATTTCATCATGCAATGTCTGCATGTCCAGTCAATGTCCATATGCCAGGCCTTTTTTTATGCCTTTTTATTGAAAAATAAATGTTCCTAGGTCGAATTGTCTGTATGTTGAGTTGTCCGCATGTGGGGGTCTCACTATACACAGGAAAATCTCGTTACAACGAAGCATTTACCTTGAAACTCCATCTTTGTAAACAAAAATTCTTTCGAACGGAATTAAAATAACATTCTGGCTATTGGGTAGGGTAAAAAAAAGTCGTTATAAGCATTAATTCGTTACGAAGAGATTCTAGTGCATATTATAAGATATGTTTTATTTTAGGTCCCTATACTTAGTGCTTCATCCACCCAGGTGACCACCTTCCTTTTGACTTTGAACTTTATCGGTCCTTATACCAAGACGTGTAAATGCTCGGACAGCGAATGTGGTTATTTTTTTTGTTCTTTCTTCCTCTTCTCCTGGAGGAAGGTTGAAACGGAAGAACGCCATGATTCACTCTCGGCGGATATGAGAAACCGGAAAGAGACCGGAAGCAGATTCTTCGGGGTGAGAGAGAGAGGCAATGAAGGAACCACACGGGCAGCAACGGGGTTTCATTCACAGGAAGAAGAAGGAGAGGAAAAATAATAAAATACCCTGGCCGCACGTGGAGCGTTTCAAACGAGTATGCGTCCAAAATAACCTCAGATGATCTTCTTCAAGCTTTTTCCCTACCTCTTTTTTTATTTTTTTAAATATTCTCTTCTCTCCCATTCGTATCTTGGCTCAAAATGTTCAGCCCTGTGCTTTCCTTTCTTCAGCACATTCGTTAAGCATTACCCGAGCCACAAGAAAATTTAATTACAGGTGAAATTTCCTCACGACGAATTCACCGGAAACCTTGAATAAATTCGTTAAAACTAATTTACCCTACAATATTGGGACTACTCTTCCGAAATATCCGGGTCACTGCTTCAAATCCGAGTTTCTAACACATTTTCAACATAATGATAAGAAGCGAAGTATCCAGTAATAAATTATTTACCAGGTTTCCTCGATCAAGTAATTTTTATTCTACTGCGAGAAAATAATTTCAACATAGAAATGCTTCTTTCAAAGAGAGGAAAAAGTGAGAGCTCATTTTTGAATTTCGAATAATTGCAAAGAATAAAAACCACACAAGATTTATTTTTTGTGTGTGATTTTTTCTAAATTTTTGTGTCTTTCAACTAGTCTTGAATATTCAAGATGGCAAACCTTGAAAATAAAATATTGCAGTCTCCCGTACGCATCCCAAAAAATTTGGAATACGAAAAACAAGAAACAAATAAATCTAAGACACCATTACGTCCGATTAACTTAGTGTTACAGTCGAAAATATGAAGAATAAAAAGAACTGGTGCAAGACAACAATTGAACCGCGCTTCAAAATTCACGAAAGCAAATCAGTAGGCTTTGGAATTCTGATTGTTACCCAAGAGTACTTTCAAGGTCATTTAAGAAAATATTTGAAAAAAAAATTTACTAGGAGCAGAACAGTCTGTGTGTAACTTCTGAAGTATGACCTTATGTGAAAAACCACAGACTTCCTTTTAAATGTCTGGGACTTTGTAAAATAACACAATTAAGTGATTTATCCCAAGGGGATTGCTTCTTTTTATTTTTTTATACATGAATTTTCAATATTTTGTCGCAACTACTTCAAGACACCAACAGGAAGATCAACGTTGTTAAACCAAGGTCGCCTTCATGCTTTAATTCTCTTCCATGCGACGCGTGGATTTTTAAAGAAGAGAACAATTCAAAGCGGACACAGTTTCATCATAATAATATAGTAATTGAGATTGACCTTCTTTCTTCTCTTACGCCATATAGCTGTCATCAAGGAGAGAGAGAGAGAGAGAGAGAGAGAGAGAGAGAGATAACAAAAGGTGACAAGAAGTCAAAGGACAGAAGAATTTTCGGGTTTTGTTTGCATGGGGTGTTCCAAAAGTTTCAATGCTGTCGGAAATTCGTAAGACACTTCTTT